CGAGTGAATCATTTGCACGGTATTGCATTTTATTTGCAATGCTTGATTTGGACGGCTGGCCTCAATAGAGGAAAAGTGCACTATATTTATTCAACCGCAAAAGTAGTTCAACAGTTCAAGGTCTATGAAATGTAACAAACTGAATTATAAAACTGAAGGCAGAGTTTGAAATAGAAATGCTTGCCATTTCTCAAAAGGGTGGGTTAAATGTGTCGCAAGATTACAAATCAAATAGTGGACGTTTTGTTGTACTATCTAAATTAGTAGCCCTGAATTTCACACCATGAGAGCATACTTAAACACACACTACCTACATAAACACTTAAGTATCCTAAACCTAGGCTATCATTCCCGAAAATATGCAAAGCAATTTTTTTTTAATTTGCCCCACTCTAGGATTTTCTCCTGTGTCGTGGGTGCGTTTACAAACATACAATTTCACATGCACATGACTCGGAACAACAATCTGTGGGTTACACAAAGAGTTGTTCCGTGCGGGAATCGAACACGCGACACGTTGCGTGGCAGACAGTTGCCCAGCCACCACGCCAACCATTCAGTCAATTGATTGGTAAGAGACCAAATCAAGTTTTTTTTATGGAATAGGAGGCAAATGAGCCGATGGATCACCATAGAAGTCAAGTGATCACATCTTCTAGTAGTCTACCTATTATTCAAAAGCAGAAATACTATTTAAATTATTCCACTATCGATGACCTGTGTGTGATTTGTAATAAAAATTAATGACGAAACATCTATGTACCTATCAATAAACGATCATAATTCCCAGCAAACAAACACTAAGTTATTTCCAAGCCAGGCAGTACCGGGAAAGAGTTATTCCCGTCACATATATTAATCAAAACTAATGATAGAGGGCAAACGATGAACCGAGTTAACCCTACAATTTGCTGTATGAGTGTATGAACTCAAGTTTCATATACCGACGCATACGTAGTGTCTACACTTAAGTTCACGAACAATAATTATCGACAACAGTTCACTCCTTAATAATGACAACTTCAAATTCATTTTGCCAAAGGAATATCAACCTTAATACCTTCAAACAAAGTCCTGAAAATCCAGGTTTAATTACTACCGATCGTCTCAAGGGAAAAGACCGAAAACCATTTAGCTTGTATTAAATATACATGAGCAAATTTCTCGATGATTGCTGGGTTCGAACTGTGATTTGGAACCCTCCCTTGAGAATTAAACGTACGATTTAATACGGTCTGAATTTTCCAGCGACATGTTCACTATAACTTGTAATTAGAGAGGTAATTACAAACGTTGAACTTTGTTAACTCCTAATTGTTAAATAAAGTATTTCTGTTGGACATTAATTAGGTAGGTGTGTAGATTTTAAATTAATAAATGTCTGGGTTGAGCATCGCATCGTAGCGAAATGCTACGCCGGCTATGCGTTGTTATGAACTATGCCCTAAAATAATTATATTGTAATTGCAATTTAAGCAATACCTACAACCCGTGGCATTTACAAGTGCATACATATTATTTGCCGACTTAGGGATAACTCCCATCACTGGCTATGTGTGATGAAATATACGACGCAGTTACCGTATAGACGGAGTTAAGTAAAATGTTCAATCACATATAGACCGTTTAACCCTTTGAGTACCGTCATTACAGACACAATTAAAGAACAGTAGGTTGCGGTCACCGGTGTCCTCGCGGTGTTTGACAGTTTAATATCATTAGTACACAGCAATTTTATTATTGTAGCAAGTCAAAAATTGTGAAGTCTTAAAATATAGGTAAAATAAAGTACTTAATTATTAGCAGCACTTGTGGTGTTAATTTCAAAGGGAATTCCGGAGCGCCATTCTAACAGTTCGTAATCAGCGTAGGTAAGTGATCACCTACAGACATGTAAAGTGCAAAGTTCAGGCTTATCAATTCCCTTCTTAACATGTAGTTATATATCTTGATTTAAAATAACTTAAGATTTAAGAACCATAGTATTAATCAACCTCATTTGAAAACAATCAGGATTTTATAATTTGACATTTTTCTAAAGGCCTGTGGGCTTATGCCCACAGACCTCCTGTCAACATATCAATACCATTCCCCACTGGCCCCTTAGACACCATAATAGCACAATTAAATACCTAGGTACAAAACTATTTTCCGTTTACCCTGTCGAAGTTCCAAGATTAGTGCCGCGTGCTTCGGTTTAGGTCCTAATTGTGCATAATAACAGTGACAAAGGTAAAGTTGCGTGGTAGTGCGGTCGCTTGCACGTAGGTAGAACCGTTAACAATTTGCGGTGACGTCGAGTTATGCCGTCTTGCCTTGCTCTTTCGCTGATCCGGCTCCTCCTTAGTTTGAAGTTTAGTGACGTAGCGTAGCTAGTGAACGTAGAATGTAATTTGAATTGAGCGAAGATTGATGTGGTTTTGTAGTCGAGTGTGTAGTAAAAGTTATTGGGTACGTGTTGTTGTTATTTGTGTGCGTTAGGTATAGGTATTTGGGTGTAGTTTTTTTAAAAGATGGTGAAAATAGAAGTCTTTCAATTGCAAATGTAGCATATATTGATGGTTAAAAGGCCAAGCGATAAGTAATGATTATTTATTTACTGGTGACGTTAGTTGCTGTTTTTGATCTAAGCATAAACCTACTTTTTAGATAAAACCTTTTTAAATTTAATGCTTAGGTACCTATTCAACATTTATCAAAATTACCATGTCTAGTCCACCAGCAGTTACAAACTATGACACCATCATAATAGGTACAGCACCAGATCGAATATTTTTACCAATTCTTGATGATAAGATCCAGACTTAGTTTTCTTTGGTTGGAATTTTAAAATCTTGTGTAATTTCGTTCACGTTATATTTTATCGAAGTTGCTCAGGAATACATCTACCTTGGACAAACCCTGCAGCTTGGTAAGAACAGCTTCGAGAAGGAGTCCCATAGAAGGATACAGCTTGGCTGGGCAGTGTATACCAAAGTCAATCGAGTCTTCTCGTCACAGATACCGCAAAGCCAAAAAGAAGTCTTCAACAAGTGCGTCAAGCAATGTAGCAAGCAAGCTACAAAATACACTCGGTAACTGGCTAGAATCGGAATGCGAGTACTCGCACTTTTCAGTCTAGATTAATTTCATTGATTGAAGTACAACATGCGGAGAATAACGCCTGTATTTAGTGAGATGTTTGATCTTAATATTTTGATTTAGACAGGTAGGTACTTACAACAAAATTTTAGACTAACTTTTATATTTTCATTGAGTGCGTGTGTTTTAGGAACCAATTTCTGATTGAATATTTTCAAAAGTTAATAAAATTATGGGTTACTCACGTGAATCAAAGGTTATTTCTAAGATTGTTATATTTGTTTTAGGTTTCTGTTGTGTATGAATGTGTAATTTGTAGTCTGTAGTACCACAAACGATGTTGTACCCACATTTGAATGACATTAGTGATCATTATTCAATATATTAAACTTTTAGTCCTGAAAATGTTGTAGGAGGTTTGTGTAAATAAAAAGCATAAATATTGTAATTAAATTTAGTTTATTATCCATACAGAAATGGACACAAATTGTGACACTTTACGAATGTCTCCATAGTCGAATCGATTTATAAAAACATTGGTAAAGTCGATTAAAATATCAAATAGAAAAAAAAATATACGAGGATCCTAAGTGGACAATCAAGTAAATTATTATAAATCTTACATTAAACGATTATATTATTCTAAGATACATTGTTCTAACTGTTTAGTGCGTCTAGTTTCGTATATCATAGGGTGTGCAAATAGCCGATATTGTTGGTAAAAAATATTAAAACCGTACTTCATCTTAAGTACCTACCACTCGAAGTAAACGAAAATAATAAACACATGCATCCATACATTCGAAAAATGTCCGCTATTAGTCCACGTGAATTGAATACATAAACTTGTTATGAGTTATCTCACTACTTAAACTACATCAGAGAATATCACATTCTCGTCAACGTACTAAAACTTAGTCTATCATTAAAAAAACATCGTACACATGGCTACCTTCGTTCTACAGTCCTAAATTTGGCCTTGTTAAGAAGGGCAGAATAAAAAAATGGCAGTCAAACATTAAAATTAAAATTCAAATACATGACTCACTCGATCAAACAGTCTTATACATCATTTAAATAATGATTCATACAAAATTGTAACAAAATAGTCAAATAAAAAAGAATTACATAACTCGATCATACTTAAATAAAATCCAATACTTTAAATGCGCATTACTAATTCAATTACAAGTACTAAGAAATACGATTTTAAAGCCTATAAAAAATCTTAAATCTTACGGTTATGTACCCTATTGTCCGACGCATTTTATACGTACTCGTATAAAACGGCGATATAACCAATGCAGGGTCATTTATTTTCGTAATAATTTCACATAACACTGAAGTTCTTTCAATTTCAAATATATAAAAATAAAATAAAACATTTTTCGCGATAAATTTTGCATACAACATTCAGTTGTTATTTAGCACCAATGAAATAAACTCGAGTTTCTGTAGTCATCGTCTGCTAGGTAACATAACATATCAAGCTTTGTAAATTGTAATGCACTTTATAGATGCCTTTCATCACAGATTTTAATAACTCTGCTGTTGCGTCAATCGATCAAATTTGAACATTATTACATGGAAATAAAGACGAATTAATGTCGTTTACTGTCTCCAAACTAGACTAAAACTAGCTTAGTGCAACTTGGAAACTATACGACTCATACACTGCTAAATTATACATTAGTATAATCCATGAACGCTTATTACATGAAGATTTGTTTACGTATATCAAATACATTATTAAAAAGTTGATACCTATTGTACTAATTTAATAATTATATCATAATTTCAGAGTAAGTAGTTTGAACTGACACAACACTAACAAAACACACTACATACGTCATAATCTTAAATTAAATTGAACTGAACTCTTTAATAGGGTGAATGTACTACATATAGGATGTTTAAACCTAAAGGTCTGTGTCGTACCAGGCGGCGACATTGTTGTTGTCGTGCGGTGGTTCTGGGAACGCGAGATCAGCTGACGCGGCGCCCGCACCTTCGCTCTCACCTATATCCATGTCCATGCCGAATCCACTGCCGATTTCTAATCCCTGCATTGAGTCTATCGGTATTTGATCGTAGCCTGCGAAATAGAAACACACTATAGTTTTAGATTTAAAGGAGCTTCCTCTCCTGGAGAATTCTCGTGTAATATAACATTATAGATTCGACTTTGAGCATTACATTACAATAATACCTCCCTGACTAAAGAGTATTTGCGTGTAATGTAACATATTGATTCGACTTTGAGCATTTCATAGCAATATGTCAGTTATTTTTTTCGCATTGATGTTTTACAAGTCGTATCAAGATATTATGCATTGTATCATTACAAGGTGCACATTGTAATGCTCGGTTCTTCTCTTTCACTGATGATACATCAGTACAGTACGGGCATACACCCGTTTTGTATCATTGCAAGGTGCGGATTGAAAAGCTCGGTTCGCCTCGCTCGCTCAGATTTGTCACATTACATTACACGCGAATGCCCCAGGTGAGGGAGCACCTTAAGAGAAGTTGTGCTAGCTAAAAGGTTTTAAGGTCAGCTCGGGGACACACAAAATGGGTGTTAATGTATGGAAGCATATTGTGTGTGTTTAGAATTAATGGGCTGGCATGAGACGTGCGGTTCGCATCGTGTCAGTTTTATTTAGTACTTGATAAGCGCCCAGCTACTGAGTTTAGATGACTTGATAACATTTTTTGTTGTGGTAGGTTGTAAAACCAAAACTCACGATTATTAGCAATGTTTGAAAAGGGATTATAATTGAAACTGCCATCAGAAAATACACAAGAAAGGAATTTAGATGGCTCTATTTTTTTTTTTAAATATGGAGCTTAGTGAGGGAATTTTTTCATCAAAAATATCAATAAAATGATTGATTTTATCTCGAATGGGACTAACACAAGGGAAGCACAAACGAATTCACCATAACCACGTTTTCTACCAAAATCTTACCTCACATAATGAATAAAAGAATATTAATTATATAATTAATATTGTTACATGCCAACAGCGATTAAAGGATACCACAAACCCAGTTACATCACAAAATATACGTAAATATATATTAAAACACGTAAAACAATATAAATAATATTCCCATCACCTGTGTTTAGTGATAAATAGGTCCCGGGTTAAGCTGCATGTAAAGAAGAGAGAAAATCGTGTTTATATAGACACCTTAAAATATTCTTATGATAGGATCATGACAGTGCTACAAAAAGTTTAAAACCGTGGAACTTTGGGAAGCATTTTTGTATAATATGTATATTAAAAATTGGTAACAAAAGTACTTCTATGGATATTACATAACCTTACTAGTTATTTAATAGGATCTATACTTTAAGGAACTACAATAGATGAGGACTCTACAGACGTTCTAGAAGGATTCGAAAAGTGATTATAGAGTTTTTTTTTAAAGGGGGAAAATCATCGAATTACTGCTCCCGCCTGGGTGAGGCGGGAGGGAGTGTCAGACTCTTACTGACTAAAAACCACCCCGTTCCTTCTCCTGCACGTCGAGCCGGAGCCCCGGTTACCCGTTAGGTTCTCCGCGATAGTGATTATAGAGTATACACTTATACAGTCTAGTACATACAAAGACAGTCTGAGTTTACAGGGCTGTTTATGACTTCAATATACCTTTTGAGTCTATGAAAGATAAATGGTAAATGATGTTTTCTGTGATAAACACTGATAAGACTGTATGAAAATAACACCTCATTAATTCTATTTATATCTTAAAAACTCTTAAGAAATAAACCCAATTTTAGACCATAAATAGATAAGAGAGCTTCCCTAAATGCAAAAATAAACATGTTGAAATAACATACCATATACTCCCGTGAGTGCAATATAAAATGTACTAGCTACTAAGAACAAACTAATTGAGGTTTTGTAATATCTTTTCTACACATTGCTATGGGTTAGTTGAACACTTCTACAAAATGGGATCCAGACTTACCTTGCTGGTGAAACGACGGTCGAGTGCCATACAGCCCCTCATAGCCTTGTTCTGGCCCAAGCATATCCTAGTAAAGGGATAACGAAATAAAATTAAATAAAGGATGAAAATTAAATGTAAAATAAAAAGGGGGATTTGAATTTAAAGCCACAATCACATGTTACAGACAATAACAACATTGGCACACATACTTTACACTGTTGAATTATTTTCTATTACTAATCCATCAATTAAAACCTCACAACACAATAATTTTCACGGCAATAAGAACTCATTTGACATAATAATAAATACTTTTTTCAAAACAAATATTACAGGCCAATCACAATTATTTCTAAGCACATTTTTACAACAATTTCGAATTTCGAATCACGAACTACATGTTTCACGTTACTACTACATATTATGTTGAAAAAAAGGTTTTTACCTGGAGATCAGGTTGCATGGCCAGGTCATTGGGCCACATCTGATGGTCATCGCGGAACAAAGAATTGGTCAGCTCCATCGAGAGTCTCTTCTTATAGTCATGAGGCTTATCTTCGGACATGCGGAATAATACCGCAGCTGCATAAGTAGCCACGCCTGGAAAGAAAGAAATTAACTATGAAAGAAAGAAATTATATTATTAGAAACTTAAAAACAACAAATAGTGTAGGTAACGATAGCATTTGTACTAAAGTTCTGAAATATATAGCCACGAATATTTCTCCTCATTTCAGCTACCTCATAAATTTATGTATTGAAGCAGGGATATACCCTGACAAATTAAAAACTTCTATTATTAAACCAATTTTCAAGAAAGATAATAGAGAATATCTAGAAAACTATAGACCCATTGCTTTAATTTCAGTTATATCAAAGATATTTGAGAAACACATATGTAAAGAACTCAACAATTATTTGGAATGTAAAAATATTTTGGTAAATGAACAAAAGGGATTTAGACACAATAAAACTATTAACATGGCAATATATGATTTTCTAAAAATAGTTATGGCTGATGTCGACATAGAATACCTGTATGCTCAATCTTTATGGATATGACGCAGGCTTTTGACTACGTTGACCATGACATATTAGTCGGGAAACTTTATCATTACGGAATAAGAGGTAATATTTTGAACTTAATCGAATCGTATCTTAAAGGTCGCAATCAATACACTGAATTGAGTACAATTAATATTTTGACAAAAAAAGAAGAAACGTTTCGATCATGCAAGCGAAAACTGAAATACGGTGTCCCCCAAGGTAGCGTTCTGGGTCCAACACTATTTATACTGTACATTAATGACTTGCCTAATGCCACTGACAATCCTATAGCTCTATTTGCGGATGATAGTACAGTTACAGTAAAATGCACAAATAAAATCAACTATGAACATGATATAAATAACACCTTGAGTTCTATCATGAACTGGCTTAATGTCAATAATCTAAAAGCAAACTTAACTAAAACGCAATTAATGCATTTCAAGCAACGGTTACCTTCCCCGAACAATTTGAATGTAAATTATAATGCACAAGCCATTAATGAAACAAATAGTACAAAATTTCTCGGTTTGCATATTGATGATAAAATTTCTTGGAAACAGCATACTGAACAACTATGCAAACGTATGAGTAAATCAGCTTATGTCCTACATGAACTCGCACATAAAATTAATTGCGATACACTACTAATCGCTTATCATGGGCTGGTAGCATCTGTCCTTAGGTATGGCATAATATTTTGGGGGAATTCGACCAACAAAGTTCTTGTCTTCAGGGCACAGAAAAGGTGCGTCCGGGCTATGTTTGGTTTGAAGGCCACTGACAGCTGTGTACCTTTCTTCAAAAGACACAATCTTATGACCTTACCATCACTATACATTTATGAAACCGCGGTGTTTGTAAAGCAAAATCCTCAACGCTTTATTTTATTATCTGAAGCTTATAATCGGCCACAAAGGGATGAAAGTCGTCTGTGTATACCCAGAACGAATACCACATTAATGCATAAAAGTATCTTTCGTATGGCTCCAGCTATCTATAATAAATTACCTAAAGAGCTAAAACAAGCTAATGTTAATTATTTTAAAAAATCTTTAAAACAATTACTGTGTCAAAAATGTTATTATAGTGTCTTAGATTTTTTAATGGATAAATTTTGATTTTGCTTATTTGTTGACTTATGTTTAGCTATAACGTATTGACTACAATAATCTATTAATTACCTACTTATTGACATCAATTTATTATAATTTATTAAGCATTAAGTAGTCTTCCTCATCTGACTTTTTGACGAACACTATTGACATATAATTTATTAAAACACGACAAATTCATATTTACTTATCTAACTAATTAATCGACTTACTGATTTAAACTCTTATACGAGTATTTGTATGCCTAAAATAGGCTGATCATAGCGCACTTTAATCTAAAAATGACCAACCAAATGTACCTATGTATCACAAATAAAGTTTCATTTCATTTCATTTCATTTCATTTCATTTCATTTCATTTTATGTTAATATAGAGTATGTTTAAGCGAAAATCTAACTAGCTAGTAAATACGAGAGAAAGTAACACGAGTTCATGCAGATAGTCAAAATATGTTTTAAACTTTAATTTGAAGACCAAATACAAATATTTTTAGAGCAGAGGTGTAGATTACCATGCACTATCTACTATCTACATTATCACATAGAAAAACATGAAATTAGAAGAAAAATTAATATAAATGACAGACAAATTATAAGATATATAGGAATTCTTCAATAGGAAACTATTCTATAAACAGCAAGCATAGATTCATAAGAAATCTTAAAAACAAGAGTCAATCCATGCTGATTACATGACAAGTTAAATTCAAAATGCATCAAAAAGAGATACAAAACTTCAACTCTACTCAAACTGACACTCGAGTGGAGCTATAGACATGTTTATACATTGATCAGATTTGTACTACAACTCTCACAAGGCATTAATCATATCTTACGGCTTACTCATGTAAGTGTTTGGCTAAGTAACTCAACAAGTTTTAAGCCACAATAAGGACATAAGTCCTTGAGTCTATAAAGACATGAGCACAAATGATGTCAAGTTGTCTACAAGTAGAATAAGTAAACCGTAAAACATTATGATTTGTTTCAAACCTAGATCAATATGTAAAGGGTTGCCTATCTCGCCCTAGGGAATGTAATTACTTGAGTAGCAACCTTCGTTCCGTGAGTGAAGTAGTTCGGTAAGTGGAGCAGTTGCCCCTTCAGCTTCTATCATTTCGGCTCCTTCCTTCTCGACGGCCAGCTCACAGAGCACGCCTGCTGCCACGCGCTGTAATAATTAAATGAGAATTATAAATTATGTTCAGACTAAGGGCCAGATTTGCTTTGCTTACTACAACAATATTGACCTTTGGTTTAGAGGTTAGCTCAAAATCTATATTTATGAATAGAAAAAAGGAAAAACACACACATAACATCATGCCTTTTATCGCCGAAGGTGTAGGCCTCTACCTATGCACAATACGTCACTTAGTGCCACTGTATAATGTAACACCCACTTTTCACTATTTATGTTATGCGTCCCATGTAATAGGGGGTGAGCATATTGTCATATACTGCGTGCAATTCCAGACTACTGAGATTTTTTTTAAAACTCAGTAATACTTTGCCTGACCCGGAAATAGAACTAAGTACGACTGCCGGGCAAGGGGTCTCCTGCCAACGAAGCAATCATAACTAGTCAGGTAGAAATAAAGGTAAACTTCAATTTCTACTATAGTGTCAGAAATATGCAACAAATGAAATAACTATTAAAAGGTTTCATATTTTTATATTGTAGTTTTTTCGCTAAGTCTTAAGTCACCAGTGACCAAAGCAATGGTTAACATGTTTAAATTTTATATTTTTATTTGTTCCTATTTTATCATAGAAGATCTTACCTGTATGTTTTCAATTTCATTGAAGAGTAGCTGCACGAATATCGGGATAACGTTCTGTTGACGTATGAGTTGACGGTTGACGCTCTCCCGCGCCAGTATGTGCAGAGCTCCGACGGCTCCTTCCACGATCTCTTCCATACGCACTCCGTCCGCATACGCGCCGCCCGCTGTACCGCCGCCAGAGGAACTGCGCTGCTGTAAGTTGGAGTTGCATATATTAGGATTGTTAATAATGTATGATTAAATATCAGGTGATTTGTAATTATTGGGTTGTCTCAATTTCATGACCATTTCACATGTGGGAGACATGCGTCGACACAAATGGGTTAACTCAACCGGAGTGGTACACCAACATCACAGAAAACCAGCGTAAGTTGCCAGCGTAAGAGTGTGCCGAAGTCCCAATCCTCCCAAATAAATAGTTTAATCACTTTATTAAGATTTTTAATCATCAACTGTAGCCAGTGTTCATTTTGCCTCGCTTAATAAAAACCTAACTATTAAATTATTTTTACTGCTTTGTTGTGTGAATGGAATAATAAGAAATTTATACCAAATATAACTTCTAATTAAAAGTTTGAAATTGCCAATCTGCAATGAGGAAGCGTGGTGATTAATGATCAAAACCTTCTCCGTGTGCGAAGAGATTTTGCTCAGCAGTGGGCATATATAGGCTGTTGATGTATCCGATCAAAATCTTACACCAAATTGCCAATAAAATAAGACTAAGTGCTTACCCTCTGAGTATCATTGAAGGCGCGCATGAGTAGCCGCACGAGGTGGTGCACGGCGCCGTGCTCCCGCAGCGGCGCGTAGTTGGCGGGGCACAGCGCCAGGTTGCGCACCAGCCCCACCACCGCCTTCACCAGCGGCCAGCGGGACGGCGGCTGCAGCAGCTTCACGATCACCTGCAGCGACCAATGTCATTCAATACCATAACAACATCGTATTGTTCCTAATAAGGCTAACAAAGTAGCATATTAAAATTTTTACCAGAGACACCAGTGATAAAAGTAGTTTTTATTAAAAGCATTCTTTGGGTTTTCTTAAGAATATATGACTGCCTCGTTGGCCAAGTGGTCGCATGTACGACTGCAAGGGGCAATTCTCTTCAAGGGGTCTCGGGTTCGACTCCCGGGCAAAGTATTACTTGGTTTTTAAAAAAACCATTCTCAGTAGTAGCACAGAGACTAGAATAGTGCCCGGTATATGGCAATAGGCTCACCCCCTATTACATGGGACTCATAACATAAATAGTGAATAGTGGGTGTTACATTGTACTGTGGCATAGTGCCGGAACGTGCATCTCTGCCTACCCCTTCGAGGATAAAAGGTGTGATGTTATGTTATGTTAAGAATATTCGATCAATGAAACAGTAGCCAACCAATCAATCAACAAAAGTCAATGACAATGCAGAAACAACAATAATAACAAAGTTTATTTTGTAAACAATATTATGTGAACTCATCAAGTTTATAAGTCTTTGTTGCATATCATCAATATGGCAATTTACCTTTTTTTTATTAAATATAACATAACCCCTTTTATCCCACATTACGGCACTTAATGTCACTATACAATGTAACACCCACTTTTCACTATTAATGTTAAAAAGAGTCCCATGTAATAGGGGGTGAGCCTTTTGTCATATACCATGCACAATTCTAGAATCCGTGCTACTACTGAGATTTTTTAAAGAAACCAAGAAATACTTTGTTCGACTCGGGAATACAGAACCCGAGACCCTTTAACCAGCAATAAATGGTTTTGGGAGGTAGTGGCGGGCTTGTCCCATAAAAAAAATAGGTGAGCCTATGAATAGCAATAAGAAATCAATAGTAATGTAGTAAGATTGTTACATAAGTCTAATCCACTCTGGTATATCAATATAAATATCAGATAAGGGGTCAAGTGCAAAGACCAGTTTATAGACATAGATAAACTTACAGCTTCTTTCAAAAACCTATATATCTCTAGATTTGCTTACTAGAGAATAATCTATTTATCTGTAGATTGATTAACTCGTCGAGTACCGGTTTTATAGACACAATTAAAGAACAATAGGTCGCGGTCACCGGTGACCGCTTGGTGTTTGACAGTTTAATAAAGACTTTTGACATAACCAGGATACAAAATTATACCTTTACTAACTAAAACTCGCGGATTACTTACGAGAAAATACTGAGAAAAGCTCTACTAGTTTCGAACCATAGAGCGGTTCTTCCTCATGAGCAGCGTGCGCGGTCGTACGTTGCGGAGAGTAACTCGCGAATTTTAGTTAAGTTAGTATGTCTCACGATAGTTATTATAAAAACAGATAGCTTTTTAAAAACTGTCTGTTAGAATATAATTTCTTTATAAATCAGAAGAACTTAATAACTTACCGGCAAACCATAGTGCAAGCGCACAGCGTTCTGAGCCATCTCGCTCTCAACATGACGCGAAGTAAGGTGACGGAGCGCGCACACAGCTGGTTCAGTGATCTCCTCGCGGTCGCCCGCCGACACCACGGTGCGGACCAGGGCATCCACGCCGCCGGCTTGGCAGACAGTCACCTAGAATGTAAAGATTTGGTGTAAATCAAAGTACCTGGATGACCGACCTTTGCTGTTTTTTTTATTTTAGTAAGCGACATTTTCTGAAAATGTTAAACCGATTTATTGCCCCCAGAACTCCCTACATACAAAATTTGAAGAAAATCCTTGTAGCCATTTCAGAGATTGTTGAGATATATATTTATACAAGAAATTGCTTGTTTGAAGGTAATATTTAGATAATATTTACTCTTTGTATTTTCTGTAAGTATAGATTCCTAATAAGTATTGGTTATAAAACCTTGAGACAATCAATTATTATTATGATTTATTTATTTTTGTTCAGTACAATATATGATCAACTCTGCTTTATGAGTAACTTGTTATCTAACAATTTCCTTCAAGGTTGCGTAAGTTTGAAATCTTTATACACTTGTTCATAAGTCGGTACCAATACACAAAACAAAGAAACTTAATCAAACTGTTTTTCGTAACCTTGAGTAATGTACTTTGATAAATATAACCTGATTTTCAATGCAAATAGAATATAATTTGCCATACCTTGTTGCGTTGGTTGTTGCAGGTCAAGTTGGACAGGATACCGGCAGCACAGGTGACGATGTTCACGTCAGTGGACGCGAGAACTTGCACCAGACTTTGCAGCAAAGCTTCCAGGCCCTCCACCTCATGAGAAATTAAAATAAAATCATTATAAAGTTCACACAAATACACTGTTAAATATATGAAGCGAAAAAATACTGTTAACATGACAATTAGGTACAAATTCTTCCAACAATTTCTGTGATACAAAATGTTATCTTGTAATACCTTAGTTGCTGCATCGGAGAGATTCCTCAAAGTCCAGAGGCAGTTCTGCACCAGGCGACCACTAGGGTTGCCGAGGTGCATGGCCAGGGCTTGCATACCACCAGCCTCGACGATAGCAGGCTTGTTGCTAGAGCACACTGAAAGTACCTGTGAAATAAACAACAAACTTGATATGAGGTTCTTGTAAACAAAATCCATGTAATAATCATTGGGTTGAATAAATTAACTCACCTTCAGGACACGAGATGTAGTCCACAACAACTTTTCGTAGTCGTACGAGCGCATAATACGGACCAATTCGATAGGTCCCTGAGAAGCGAGAATGATCAATTTCGACTCTTGGTTTCCATAAGCCAAGATTTGCAGACAATCAGTCACAATCGCCAAGAACTTTACATTGTTCCTTTGCAGGAGTGCAACCATTTTCTGGAGACCTCCAGCTAGGCGGACGGCCATCTTAGAACCGTCCTGGTGGAGGAGTAGGTTATGGAGGGTGGTGATGGCGTAAAACAGAACAGACTCGACTGGTGAGCTCAGAAGCTTCACCAAGGCGGGAATGCCACCACTCTTGAAGATGGCGAGTAAACCTTGACGGTGGTGAGACAAGTTATGCAGGGTTCCCACTGCTCCCTTAGTAGTCTCCAGGTCATTGCTGTTAGAGATGGCACGCACTAAAGCGGCAACCATTTGCGGCGAGTTCATAATAGCATGGCGAGAAGCTTCCTTCTTGGACAGCTGGTGCACCATCATGGCAGCTTGTGATACAACCACTTGATCCTCATCGTTGAGTAGCTTGATCAACTCTGGTATAGCCCTGAAACAAAAATATTAGTGAATAGAGTAAACTTTTACAAAACCTGAATAATTTCAGAATGAATGGATAATGGTTACCAATCATGGATAATAAAATTATGATTTATCTCAACCATTTAGTTGAGATAAAATCCGCTTAAAAATCATAATTGTATAGTTCCATATTAATAACAATTTTAAAACTTAGTACATCTTTGTAAAGTAATCCTAGTGACATCTATAAAAAGGCATTGCATACCTGGTAGCTAAGTCAGCATCGTCTTGATAATTGATGAGGTTGACCACCGCATGCTTGAGCATCTGCGACGGCTCAGCAAGGCGCTGCACCGCCGTTGGCTGGGCGGGGTCCAGCTGAGTGGAGGGGATCTCGATGCCCTCCTCCAGAGTCTCAGGGAACATGGCAGCCCGGACACGCTGGGAGCGCGTCTGAGACAGCTGCTGGTTCATGTCTAAACAAAATATTCATATTTTTAGATACAACAGCTCATTCCCTTGTTTCATGGAGATGCAAGTGTAGAGTTCAATCAAGATTGATTCTTATTGCGCTGCTATAATATCTACATATAGTTCTACATAAAGTAGATTGTTCATATTTGCTTCTCATAGCCAGTTCTTAGTGTTGAATGAAGAATTTACTAAAAAATAACAGTATCACATATTCCGTCACAACTTACCATCCACCTGCTCCTGAGTAAACCCCTGAGCGAACCCCTGATCCAGGTCGAACATGAGCTGGTCTCCTTCCATCTCATCATCTTCCTTGCCCGTGAGTGATGGGACCTGGAGAGAAAACAAAAAATATAAATAAGGTAATCTGCATAATGAAAATGATGTATTATACAGTATCTATGTCAAAGATGTTATCAACAGCCCTGAGTAATTAGTTGGACTGTTGGCGTCCCATATAAGAGAGTTTCCTATAAACTCCACATATAGGCAGGTTGCAGATTGGAAATTAAAAGGTTCTGGGTCATCCAGCATTCATAGCTGCTCCGCCTCAATCAAATGTCCTTAAGTTGCTCTTACAACACCCGCAGTAGAGTAGTTGTGATATCAATACATTTATTCTACTTAAATGTCATGGCATGAGTTTGTAATACGAACGTCATTACAAGAGTAAGCAAAATTCTAAATGAAATAGGTCAATCTATAAATGAGATTCTTGACTAATTAGATTAATTAATCATTCGCAACTTAGTAAAAAGCATTATATTTGCAATTGTTATCTTGTTCAATCGTTCACCTTGATATTCATTCACATTTCTAACATGATACCAGTTTTATATTTCAGTATGTCAAGTTCAGCAGATTTTGTTACTGATTTTCTAATAACTAAGTTTTTAAAACCCTGAAACATGTTCTAAAAAGACAGTTATTGTTAGATATTAAAATGTAATTTCTAAATGCTCATTTCCAAAATTATTTGTTAATTTAAGTCGGTCTACATGATGAAGGCAGCAGACTGCAACAGAACCAGTACTACTGCATTGTATTTCTATTAACCCATATATCCCTAAGCGGTCACCGGTGACCGCTCACCACAAACTACATTATAGACCTTATTTCCAATGTTTAGAGACAAATTTTGTAATTTCAACGGGTTAAAAGCAATGAGAAACCTAAAACTGATAAATTAATGGCAGTACCATCATTTCTTATAGATTTTAACATGAAATTTCAAAAGCCTAAGATAATTTCAAACAGTATACAACTCACCTGAGTAGCAGCCCCTGAGTTGATACCAGAGTCAACCAGGTAGGAGTTCTGCTGCCACATGAGGGTCTGCTGCTCCTTGCTCGGAGCCATCGGCACATCAGACCCGGCATAGTTGCTGTGAGACACTGGAAAGAGAAATCGGTATTTTCAAACTTCAGAAATGATGAGATGATATATCCAGACTTATGAAAGGTAACACACTGTTCTAAGATAACTTTATAATCATTTTACTCATGTTAAGTTTGTCTCAAATGTACCAATTTTGTAATGTATTATGATCTTAGGGAAATCACTATTCCTAGTAACTAGATATTTCAGACGAGATTACATAAAAAGTGTGTTAATAACTGTAGCAGAACACTACTTATGGGATTTAGTTGCTCCTATTTAATAATCCATTTACTAATAATCAATTTCAGAATTAACTCCTATTCAATCTTAATAGGATGAAGAGTTAACACAATATTAATTCTATATATATAAAAATTAAACCAGTTTTCCGCTGTCACACTATAACATGAGAATGGCTGATTGGCTGGACCGATTCGGCTGATTTTTTTGTTGCATTTGTTATTGTCAGGAGGAGGTTCTTGTGATAGATAAAAAAATATGAAAATCATGGGGGAAAACGGGATTGCGCGTACGAAGACGCGGCCAGAAGCTAGTGTGTAATAAATTTCCACTCAAATTTTAGTACTTACACATACCAGAACAATAACATGAACATGAAAATAAATCAAAAGCAATTTAGCATAATTCATGACTAAAACATAACTAATTATTACAAATACACATGTAGAAATGTGGTATGTGAAAGGTACAACAAACTTAAGATAGGAACAATGGATTCCAACACAATAAACATAAAAAATCTCAGGTAACCAACAACATACAGGTACAACTCATCTGTACAGGTATGAATGAGATGTCTTTCATAGCATTGAATAAACTCTCCAGTCAATAATACTTATAAAATGAGTCATTACAGTCCCAACGAGTTCCAAGTACATACCTATAACTATAATCAGTATCTAGAACAGATCCTGCTCTACTATCTACTGCACTTATCGATTGACAAAACACTACAACTAAAACTATGTAATTATACTTACTCGTGCGACTCTGGGACGATGGTATCTGATAACTCATGGTTCAGCGGATGCAACAATGCACCCTGCGCCTGTAAAAAAAAACATCATGATTTTTACTGATCCACGAGCGGCCATAACTATCGATCGAAGGTTTTGAGTAAACAAATACATTTGGTACTTTTATTAACATAAACACTTCAATCTGCACCGCGTTTCATGCATCCAACGGCTCCAGGAAACGTATAAAACAAAACAAACAAGTACTCCATGGTCTAAATACCAATACCACACCCGATCCCATAAAATGTTTGGTATTCAATTGAACGATTCACTAATGTTGTTTTTAGTTTTTCACTAGTTAAATTTACGTAATTAATACTTGCCTTGCCTGTCGTAAGCCGCAAGGATAAATATTACAGATTTATAACAATATTCTGATAAAATAACGCACAATGAACCCACCACCGTCACAAAATTGACATGACAATATGGCGACCATACAATCGTTAGTCTTCGTTGATTGGTCGGGTATTCTCGTAGCTGTCGGTTGGCTATTTTACTATCTCGCTCTATCTTAGGTATTTCATGTGTTATTTTCTTTATCTTTCACGATTTACAGAGTTACCAGAAAAAATAATCAAGGATACGTTTTGTTTAACGCAGGATCAGAGAAATCTGTAAATAATTATGTGAATCATTATTATTGTATTTCATTTTATAGTTAAGTATTAAAAAGTAATATTCCACGATAACCATGAAAGAAATAATTTGATTTTACCCTAAGGTTATGTAAATATTACATATAAACGTTATGAACCTAATTTATTTTTAAGTAAATACAAAGTAAAGAACAATATTTAAGTTATTTTTGAACAAATCTGAAAAAATCTGCTGTCAGCTCAAAATATTATTGACGCAATGTCAATTCAGAGTATTGTACATTCTTAAAACTTTTATTTACTTGCCTGGTAAAATAATTGCTTTACTTTCAAACTACACAGGTACCGAAACGTACGAAAATACCCGCTGTTACAAGATATTTATACAATGTCGAAAATACAAGATATTTCTAGCTTCCACGTAACAACTTACAGTCGTTATAATATTTCTGAAAGCACATCAGATATCCAGGTTTTTGTTAATGAGTTTAAACAACGAATAGAATGTGACCTAAGACGAACTGAAGAGAATGCTAAAGAAAATTTTATTTCGTTTGCTGAAAAAAGGCTCAGTATATCCGATATAACTTGGTTACAAGATAACTATGATAGATTTTTTAAAGACACCGATAATAAAACTTTAATCGAAGATCACTATTTGTCAGAATGTGGCTTTATTTGTAGTATGGTGTACTCGCCTGATGGAGAAACAATTATTGTGGGCCATTCGACTGGTTTGATTCAGGTACTACATATAACTAAGTACAGTGGCGTAGCGTAGGTATCTTGGCGAGGCCCCGTATAATATGTAATTTGTTTGGGGGCCCTTATGAAAGGAAAAATTTCTTAGAAGAGATTTTTACATAAAATAGGTACCTCTTTTGCCCAAATAATCGGACAATGATTAGGGTCTTTAGTTTTTCCCAAGTTTCTGCCATGGAATAGATTTCTGTATTCCATGGTTTCTGTCAACCTTTGAATGCATGCATTTTATGATTAGGTACTGAAAAAAAATATACATTTTTATATTTTTGCTTACACACGTTGGAGGCCCCCGTTGTCTGGGGGACTCATATAATTGATTGGCGCTAGCTACGCACCTGACTAAGTACCCAGTAAATACAAACTAACGAGAATCTATGATAGTACCTAGGTATCCAGAATGTAGAGGTACATACGTACCTCAATATAATTTTACTATTTTAGACCCTTTTCGCAATCTCGAAGCAGCAGCTGTACGCAGGTAACTACTTAGTTATTTACCTAAGTACTATGAGTTGACTCCTATGCATATTTCAAAATTATTATCTAAGTAGTTACTCCAGTAGGTCAAGAAAAAATGACAGAATTGGATTTTAAAAATATTTTACTGGATTACGCAAAAAATGTAAAAGATTACTATCAGAATGAATCTAAGCCGAAAATATGGTATCCTATGTTCTACGAAGGGAAGCTTAAGCAAAATCAGTTCAAATGGGTCAACGAGAATCATGAACTATTCTTGAGAGGCACTCCAAATAAGGTTTTGCAGAACAGATGGTATAGCTCGGAGAAGGGTGCTGTAACTTCTATGCAATTTTCGCCAAACGGATATCATATTATCGTGGGGCATGCCTCAGGCGCGATAGAGGTGAGCTTAGGTAATTGTTTTAGCTCTCCAAACACTAGAGAAGCTTCAAAGTTAATAGAATAAAGGAAAGTAAACGGATGATATTGCAAGCTAACCTAAAATAACAAGTATAGGAACCCAATTTTACTCGCTATCCTTTTGATGTGCGGTAAACGAACTGTAGAAGCGATCGTGACCATTAAAACTTTATACGTTTGTAATTACAGTAGCCCAATTTGATTCCCTTTGAATACAAACGAAGCACCCACATTTCCGAATTAAGTGCCTACCTACATTAAATTATTCAAATTACTTAGGTACCTAGCTATCCATTAACTATTTAGTGCCAAATTCCTGCTGCCTACTCAAGAACTTTTGGCCAAGTTCTGCCTAGCCGACAGTGATATCTATTTATAACTAAGTACATATAATAAAATCATAGGAAAGTGAAAACTGTACATTGAATATTTTTACAATCGAAACCAAAAATATATTTTTTTGAATCTTTGCCTGTTTGCCTGTATGTATGTCAGGGATGAACTCAAAAAGTGCTGTATAGATTTACTTCAAATTTTGCATGAATATTAGGGTACCTACTAACAGGTTGGGTATTATGCTATCAACTACGGAGGAGGAGCTATGAATCACTATATCACGCGGACGAAGTCGAGGGCTCAGCTAGTACAGAATAAATATTAAAATAGTGGGTAGATTTAAAATGTAGGTACGATAATAAGGTACCTCAATAAAACAGTTATTAGCAACTAAGGGCATTACCTTTAGGAAACTTCGAAATATTATTAAGCAATAGACAGAGAAATGACTATCATTAAACCTCTTTGGAAATTTTAGATGCGTCATGGCAGCACAGGTACAGTCCTTTGCACGCTGCGAAACATTCAGTTCCCGCCAAAACCGGTGCATGCTTTGGAATACAGCACTTTCGAGTCAAATGTCTGCTATGCGGCTTGCATTGACGGAGCCGTATATCGGATCGAGATCCCAGAGGTATTTGAATTTTGAAATTTGAATCCTGTTGGCAAGGACAATGGGTATTGAATGGCTTTTGTTGAAATTGAGGAAACCCATATTGTTTGAATTCACCTGTTCATTTTACAATGGCTTTGGCTATAAAGGTAGGTCATCAACTTTAGTCAAATCATAACCAAATAATATTATATATTTGTTTGTTTATGTTTATGTTACTTGAACTTCTTTGGACTGTGCGATGGACGAAATGAATGTCGCAGGGACCGATTCCTGCGACACAATTCGTTGTGTGATCCATAAATCCTTGTATTGGGTCTGGGTGTGATATTAGTATGTTTGTAAACGGTCCACGGCAAAGAAGGGAATACTAGTACCTGTCCCAGTGCTTATAAGGGTTACGGAGCCGCGAAAGACTTAACGGGTAGTCGGGGCTCCGGCTCGAAGTGCAGGAGTAGGAACGGGGTGGTTTTAGTCAGTAAGAGTCTGACACTCCCTCTCGCCTCACCCGGGCGGAATAAGACATTGGATGATTTTCCCCCTTCAAAAAAAAGTGCTTATAAGGGTAGGGCAACATAAAAAAAATCAACTGCATTGTTCAAAAGAGTATGTACCCCAGATGTATAAAACATCGATTGACAGTTTTAAAATATAATCCAGGAATGAATTAGGTAGGTACGGCGATTTATCATTCATTCACCTGTTCCTACCGAATTCCCGAATAACTGCAGACTGAGAGCAATTCATCAAATACAATTTATTTATTTATTGGAATACAAAAGCCTCTGTATTCATTTCCGTTCGCGATGTAGCAAATAACAACTGGGAATAACGAAGATTAAAATGTTATCCTCGATTCCCATTGGTATTACCGGCCTAGCGGTTTGTGGATAGCCTTTGACCAGAAATTGTTCCTGTGGGGCCTTGAAACAAGCGATATTGGAATTGAAAACGATACATTGTCCGTGTTTTATTTAAATAATAAGCAAAGTAAATGTCCGAAGTACGGTTTCTTATCTAGAACTTAGATTAACCATTATGATAAGTAATCGATAGGGTAAAGTTTAATTACATATGAGGTTACGTTTATTAAGTTTTTAAGTGTGGGAGAGCCATGCTTCGGCATGAATGGGTACCTCGCCTCCGCCTCGACCGCAGTGATACCACGGTCTCACAAAAAACCGACGTGAAACAACACTTGCGTTGTGTATCGTCGTGTGAGCGAGTTTCCCGGAGGCCCAATTACCCTCCTCCTTAATCTCCCCAATCCCCGAATCCCCAACAATCCTCAAATTCCTAATCCCCAAAAGGCTGGTAATGCACTTGTATCGCTTCTGGTGTTTCATGTGTCCATGGGTAGCGCCGATTGCTTACCATCAGGTGATCGTCTGCTCGTTTACCGGCTTATTCCATAAAAAAGGTATAATTACTTATTCATTTGGAAACCCTTTCTGTGCAACCCTATCAGGGTTTCCTGAACATTGCATTAAATTCAGCTTATAAATTAGTTGCATGAAAGTGTTATGCGTAGGTACCAAAGTAAGTACATAAGTGTACCTATAAAAGTAAGCATAAACGCTTAAGCTAAATCAAAATCATTTATTTGCAAACATGGGCATATCATAATAATATACCTAGATGTTAATGTTTTTGAGGTGGGAAAATCATCCATAGGCTTAATATATGCATTTATAATTATCTTAGGCGAGAGGGAGTGACTCAGACTCTTGCTGACTAAAATCCACCCCGTTCCCACTCTTGCTCTTCGAGCCGGAACCCTGACAACCCTTAAGGCCTTCCGCGGCTCCTTATCGGATTTTGTCTTGACTTGGCATGGGGACTTTTCTCCCAATTGTTCAACCAGTAGCTCATCAGTAGCTTCAAGTAATAGCAGTTACTTACTTATGTCTGTATACGAACGTAGTGCGCCACGAGGCTTTATGTCCAGAAATGAACCACAAAAAGTCCTGATAATGTCTGTATATGTAACTTGACTGTCACCGCTAATTTCAAAGCTCAATCGTAAGGGCATGCCGACATAAATCAAGTCCAATTGGTTGTCCGCGATATCGATTAACATTGTCCATTTATTTGTGAAGATAGACACGTCCATTGAGGAACCTCCCACGTTCTGTATCAGAGCTGATCCGATGCTAGAGAGCCTTAACACGCAGTTCTATGGAAGCCCTGGAACGTCTTTGTATGCAACGCCATTTGTTACCCGTAAGTCATGTATATATCGAAGTATTAATTTACGTATTGGGAAGGTACTGTAGGTGCCTATTTATTGGTCTTTGCGTCAAAAAATTAATGTTGGTGAAAACAATGACTGCACGGTTGGTGCGGTGGCTGGGCAACCGGCTGCCGTGCAACGTGTCGCGGGTTCGATTCCCGCACGGGACAACACTTTGTGTGATCCACAAATTGTTGTCTCGGGTCTGGGTGTCATTGTGTATGTGAACTTGTATGTTTGTAAACGCACCCACGACACAGGAGAAAATCCTAGTGTGGGGCAACGTTTTATTAAAATAAAAAAAAATACATCAACTGATGACAGTTGTAGACTAGCTTCAGCAGCTAACAGCGGTTTTGCCTGCGATACCAGTAACTTATTTCTATTTTTTTTATAAGTACCTTCACAGTGGTAGAGTTTCGCGAAAGATCAACAAGTGAAACAGTTTCTTGGACTGTCAGCTACGCACTTTAATGCTTATGGTTTTTCCCGATAGAACAACGTTGCGCTGCTCTTTCGTTGGGAGTACTGCCGGAGTGTAAGAAGATGGCAGTTGGCTACGCAGACACGTCGATCAAAATCTATAATATGGAAACACAGGAGGTGTGTGCATTTATTTTATCTTTATACTAATACTAGCGGACCCGACAGACGTTGTCCTGTATATCCACTTGAATGTATAAACAAAAATTCATTCAAATTATAACCTAGACCCGACTGCAGCGCCATTTGTCGGGCTGATTTGTGAATCTAAACCATTCCCAGATCCCCTTGAACACACACAAAAAATTTCATCAAAATCGGTCCAGTCGTTTAGGAGGAGTTCAGTGACATACACACTCACAGAAGAATTATATATATAAAGATTATAAAGGTAAATGTTTATAAGTATGTGTGTTTGTGTGTATGTTTTGTTACTAAATCACGTCGATACGCCTGAAGGGATCGCGCCTAAGTTTGGAACAGGATTAGATAAAGGTCTGGTATAACACATAGGCTACTTTCAATTCACGGGAACGCGGGCGAAACCGCGGGCAGAAGCTAGTTTACGACATGCATAAACGAATCGGGAATATGAATCGGGATGGTTAGCACGGAACAGAAAAAACTGTTTTACTTTAGTTTTTTTTAAAACTGTTCTGTTCTGTTTCATGTTGGTTAGTTTCTCGGATTGGGCTAACTGCTCAAAACTATATATAATCAAGAGCACCTTTATGTAGCCCTACCCTTTGAGTATTTGTAAACTTTTACTCGGTGAGAGCCAACCCTAACAGCACACACACATAAGTCTCGTGAACTGATTTCAACATTTTCTTTTGTGTTTAGCTAAATTTATGTTCATTGGATATTTTATTACGTTTTGAAGCGTATATTTACTTTCTCAACAAAGAAAAACGTTCTAAAAGCAAAAGGCAATCCGTTTGTATTTTTATTGTTATTTAGCTATGGTAAAAAAGCTAAAGGTGGCTACGTCTATTTATTTTGTTCTTTACTTACCTATACACACGTATTTATCTTACAGGATTTGTTTTGTTTTTTTATAATGCACTCTTTATGCCACTTTACAATCGAGTGGTGTAGCCACAGGCAGGGTGGGCATCGAGAACGGACACTTGATACTTTACTTCTGAGGTTTTGATGTGACAAAGTATGGTCAAAAAGCTTCTATACTAAATTCTAAATTTTAGAGTTAGAGAAAATGTTGAAAAAGAAACAGCAAGGAAGGAAAACCTTCAATTCTATACCAATGTTACTTTGTTTATAAAACTGCGTGGACATGCAGATTCTAGCACAGTAGGTATTGTACCTACATATATTACTGAGTTGAATAATTAGACCCATCTGTGTAAGATGAATGGTAATTGTTTCTCAGTCTGCTACATGGCCTATATGTAAGTACTCACATAGGTACATGCCTACATAATTAGCAGAGATAGTCGGGTACGGGTTGTATCTACCTAGGCACATTTTATTAACCACTACTTAGGCAACATCTTATAGATACGGTAACTGAATGTTTTACTCGTACATTTCTTGAAAATAAAATTATAACACAACCATTTGTTTACATAAAATAATAAACAAGAACAAAACCGACGCCATTTTTAACCCTTACCCTTTAACCGAGAAACTTCGAGAACGTAGGCGGCGTACATACCCGAACTCACCCGAATATTAATTATTAGGGCAAATAAAGCAAAACAAGAATAACTTTGTGGATTAACAGATAATTCACCAAATGAAAGCTTATCTTTGAAACAATGGATGCCCTCTATAACTTGGGCAAGAACTAGACAAGATAGAGAGATAGATGTACCTAAGTACCTAAAATTATAATACACTCATAACAATAAAATTGCAAAGCCAAGTATTAAGGTTTATCTTACAAATTGTTAGTTACACTGAGCTTATAATTAAAGGGATTTAATGTACACGGCCTAGACTGGAACATAAAATTTAATCAAGGCTGACAATGGGTAATTTGAAGAGGTTAATTGAGAAAATGTGGATGAGAGAAGATATGATTCATTTTTAAGTGAAATGGATACTTTAAAAGAAAACTTTGTTGAGCAAACCTGCTTACTGATGCCGGAATCATACTGGAACAAATAAGTTCGGTTGTCCGGGGTAAGTAATGTGTAACGTGTTACATGACATACCTAACTCCGTTTAGAAGTCGTGAAGGCGACTATTAAGTAACTTCAGGAGTACTTATTTATTGGTACAGGAATTTAGGTATAAACCTAAATTCGGAGAACCTAACGGGTAATCGGGGCTCCGGCTCGACGTGCAGGAGAAGGAACGGGGTGGTTTTTAGTCAGTAAGAGTCTGACACTCCCTCCCGCCTCACCCAGGCAGGAGCAGTCATTCGATGATTTTCACCCCTTAAACAAATACCTAAATTAAATATTAGGATTAATTGTAAAATCTTTTGCAGCTGAATTATGCTCATAAAATAAACATTGAACTAAGCAATCCCTGGAACATAGTTTTAAGTGGAAAACGTGTGTTTTAGATGCCCAACCCAAGTTATATTCGGCAGGCGACTTTAAGGTTCTCCCACACCGCAGTTATGCAACGTGATACTATATTGCTTAACACGATAACAAATCAAGTTACTACAACAACTTTTGTTATAATTTATTATGTTTTCGGCTTACTCACGTAATAATTTGACTAGGAACTCGACTAGTTTCAAGCCATGCTAGAGGCTCATATTCATGAGCAGCATTTCGCGGCCCGCGACGCGGCGACTGTCGCACTACTACTAATATGAGCCTCTAGCATGGCTTGAAACTAGTCGAGTTCTTCGTCAAATTATTACGTGAGTAAGCCGAAAACATAATAATTTATTTAGTACTAGCTTCTGCCAGCAGCTTCGACCGCGATCCCAGCGGTAAAATGCCTATGTATCACTTCAGACCATAATCTACCTCTGTTACGAATTCCATTCCGGTCCCTTCAGTCGTTTTAATATGACTGAGTAACAAACATATACACAAACACATAAACTCACATATTTTCATTTATAATATCGAGTCAAGCTAATTTCAACCATTGGCCTTTCAGTTACAGCGTAAAGTCTATGAATGAGTATTGTAAACGTTAGAGTAGACAAATACAATCAGAAATCACCGAATTGCTGTCGAGGAATATTTTTTATATAATTTTAAGAAGAATATTTCCGTCATACATGATTTCTATGTAGCTTTAACCTATATCGTCGTCCACCTACATCGACGGAATCTTAAAAAATGGAGTAACTTCTCCCGTTTTCCCAATATTTCCCTTCACTGCTCTGCTCCTATTGATCGTAGCGTAATGAAAAGTATACTATAACCTGCCCAAGAGTATGAAGAATAATTGTGCCAAATTTCGTTAAAATCCATCGAGTAGTTTTTGTTTCCATAACGAACATACAGACAGACAGACAGACAGACAGACAAAAATTTTACTGATTGGATTTTTGGCATCAGTAGCGATCCCTAACCACCCCTTGATAGTTATTTTTTAAATATATTTTATGTACAGAATTGACCTTTCTACAGATTTATTATAAGTATAGATGTCTCACGAAAGTTACAATACAAATATTTGTTATAATTTGTTTAAAAACAAATGTAAAGTCAGTCTATAACGTTATTTAACTTCTATGTTTGAGCACCTATACAGCAACTTGACAGTCAAGGAAATAAAGCGAAATTTTCCTGTAAGATCACGACAACCACAGAAAATGACTATGTTCTTTAACAGTGTGCATAAAATGTAACCACTAAAACGTTGTAAAATGTTACGGCTTAATCTTGGTTGAGTGTGGCAATAAATTAGACATTCCTGCATTGGTTTTATTATAACTTTGATGGCCTTGACATTAAATTTTTGGGTCGGATATTTCAAATGTTATTGGAGAAACGAATCGTTAACTCAGACCGTACTGAATAAAATATGTAATAAAAAACCTTTTTGTTTATTAATGTTTGACACACATGGTATTGGTTCGAATGGATACCTGTGTGGATACAAAGTAATTTTATTTGTTTCATTTCCAAGAGACGTCTAAAGGGAATATTGAAGCGTTATTTGGATTTATGTATTGGACATTTTTAGTAATACTGTGTCAGGATTTGTGTACCCGGCGGGCGAGGCGTGGTGTAGGCAGAGAAAGTTTAGCAATAGTCCATTACCATCCATACATCTGGCATTTAAACTGGGTTCCCTGATATTGTCTCTGAGAATACTGAAAGCAAATATTAACTCCTCTTCAATTTGAGATTCAAAACTGAAAGCCCTTGTTCAACAATCATGTTTGTAATCACATAACATAATATAACATAACATCACTTTTGCCTTTTATCCCCGAAGGGGTAGGCAGAGATGTACATTGTGTGACTGTATAATATAACACCCACTTTTTACTATTTATGTTATGAGTCCCATGTAATAGGGGGTGAGCCTATTGCCATATACCGGGCACATTCCAGACTCCGTGCTACTAATGTGATTTTTTTAAAAAACCCTGTAATACATTGCCCGACCCGGGAATCGAACCCGAGACCTTTTGCCCGGCAGTCGCACTTGTGACTACTCGGCCAATGAGGCAGTCATCACTCATGTTTGTGATCACTCATCCAATAAAGCTCTGTTTTTGAGTGATGTAAATTCCTATTAAAATTGTTTGTTTTCTGTTTACAGGCTGACGTTACCTACAAAGTACACAAACTTCGACTTCAGTTCATCCCTAAGAAGTTGCAGAGGATGCATTATGGCCAAGTAGTCGCATTGAGGGCACATCCACAGAAACCGTTCTTGTTCGCCAGTGGAGCTTGGGACAAAACCCTTAGGGTAAGTAGGTATTACTAAATCTTTCTAGTCTCTCTCTCTCTCTCTCTCTCTCTCTCTCTCTCTCTCTCTCTCTCTAACTAGTCTAACTCTCTCTTTCTCTCTCGCTCTTTTTCAAAGTCAAAGTCAAAGTCAAAGTCAAAGCATTTATTTCAATTAAACCATAGTTTGGTGCTTTTGAAACGTCAACAAATACAAAATAAATAATAGTCTGTCAGTCAGTCCGTCAGTGAAACTAGGTGAAGCTAGGTGCTCATTCCAAAAAGTAGATTCGAATGGAGAAGAACGAGCAAGAAACTCCATTCGTTACTCTTTTTAAAAAAAGTATGTTCTACAATGTCTCTGATACATATTTCAATACTGTACGCATATGTAAGAACAATGCAAAGACACGCTTGACGCATTATACTAATAACTTACAAAAATTAAAAAAAAAATAAAAAAATAAAAATTAACTTAAAGTCCAACATGGTGCTCACATATGCATACTGACAATCCATAGAATTAGTGCTTCTATACAAGAAAAGGAAACTCTTTGTTTCAATAAAGAAATGCTCGATGCCATAAGGAAACTAGATTGTCTACATTAGAATTAAAGTGTTAAATTTTGTATTAAAATACCTACTATTGGAATTTCATCACACTAATCACACTATCACACTAATATTATAATGTGAAAGTTTCTTTGTTTGGATGTTTATCCGTCCGAAACTACTGAACGGATTTTGATGGAATTTGGTATACAGTCTGGGTACTTTATACTTTTTATCCCGATTAAATGCGCCCATGGGATATAACAGGAATCATATTCTACGCGGACGAAGTCGCGGGCAACAGTTAGTATTACATAAATAATAATTTATAATAATTGTTTTGGTTTTATGAAATATATACGTAATTGGATATAGCTATTGACGTACGCTATGGAAATTAAACCTTTGGTGATTGAGACTTAATGCTTTTGCGACCACACTACCAAAACTGCAGGCACAACTTTTCTCAACTGAATATTAATTAAAATGACTTTGACAAACAAAAACATAACCTTTGGAAGTCCTAAAACAATAAACAGATTTACAAAACATTTTTAGCACGCAAACAGAATAGTTTCTAAAACAAAACTCGCTTGAAATGAAACTAACTTTGTTATGAGGTGGAAAAATAGCAATAACTACAGATATATCTATACTAATATTATAAAGAGGAAAGATTTGTACCTATTTTTGTATGTTTATAATGAATACCTAGGCTCAAAAAGTAATGGGCCGATTTAAAAAAATTCTTTCACCAATAGAATGCTACATTCTTCCAATTTGACATAGGCTACATTTCATTTTGAAAAAAAATAGGGATCCTTGGTAAAATTTGAACAATGTAACCGAAGGTGTAGAAAAATGAGTCTTAAAATGTCTTTCGACGAATGCGCTGCCGAAACTATTAGGTAGCGATAGAACAAAATAATGTACAACAATATTGAAGAACATCATAATGTCTACAAAAAGTTTTTTGCTATTGTAGTTATGTCACTACAACAACAAAAATTTCCAAAAATAAATAATTGTCTACCCCGTGCGAAGCCGGGACGGGCTGCTAGTATGTGTATATATATAACTTTGAGAATGTGGGATGCAGTTTGACCGCAGAACGTTTAACGTTTAACCCTGACTCCCCTTGGCGAAGGTGAAATACTCCTGGACGTGAAAACACACAGTTGTCGTTGTTAGCCGTCACGCCTATTAACTGCGAAAAAAGTGTTGTCATGCTCCGTTTAAGCTCGGCAAAATAGTATTTTTGTTTTTGTAAACACATAGGTATGTTGATATAATTAATATTATGAATTGTTTACATAGATTTTACTTTCAGTTGCGTAGTATTGTAAAGAAAATCTTTAATGACACTGGCATTCTTTGACAGATTTTTCTTGTTGACTTTATTAAGCTCAATAATAATTTTCAGTTACCTATATTTTGCAACAAAGTCCGCGCTGACTAGATTATAGCTTCTCGAACTAAACTACTATGTACCTATATAGATACCAATAAACGTACATAGATACAAACAACAAACAATTACTTCAAATAAACAGTTCAGGTGATAGTTTTTTAATACCAGCACGCTGTCGTCGCCCTACAAATGTACGAATCTACTGTCGGCGAGTACGTGGGGCGAGTAACTTACTTGACGCTAGTAAACACGTCCTGAATTAAACATGGCGGACAACGACCGCCGACAGACTCAAAGCATCTCTGTATTCTCTGTCGAGATTAAAATATTTCTCTCCGCGGTTAACTGCTCAAATTATTTATTAAGCGCGCTTAAGCAGACGGCAGGAGTATTGTTCGTTTGTTATTATGGAATATTCTATTCTTATTACGTGCTTTAGATGTGCATTTCTTCAGTTTCGTTTGTTGATTTTTAATCTAAGCAGCGGTTGCTTGTAGACCTTACCAAGGTAGATAGTTTAATTCTTGAGTGCAGTTATTTAATTTTATTTTAATAAGAGATTCAAAGCAGACGAGTTGTTAAACAAAGTCTCTGAGTTTAATTCAAGATATTCAAAGATATTTCGATATTGAGTTTCTAATTGTAGTTCGTCTGATTGTAAAACCAGATTTCATCATATTAACCACAGTTCACTTTAACGTATGCCTCTTCCATTGACATCAAGATTGGGCGATTAGAAGCAATGTGTACAATGACATCTTACTGGTATCTACCAGTTTTGTCACGTTAATATGAGGTGCCTAACTCCATGTTAAAATGTTTTTTACCGTAACAAAAACGATTTATTTATGTTACACTCAATCCAGGTATTAATTTTAATCCGAAAGGGATTGAAATTATCCGTCTATTAGATAATGGAATTATTTATTGAACTGATATGACCTTATACGTAGTTACGTAATAAATTATTTTAATTTGGTTCGTATTAATATCGTGGTCGTGTAAAAGCTTCAACCACGTAATGATTCCCTCTACTTATGGTGGATTAGGTAAATAATTTATTAAGGCTTCTTAATTGTTTTACACTTAGTTAAGGTATTACATTCTAAGATGACTTTAAAACTTCGCAAAATTCTGATGATTACTTTTCCAAACATTATGCCATTAAATGAATTATTTTCCACTTAATTCTCGTAGAACATGAATTTTAGAACATAACTTACGTTTTTGTTTCAATTTTCCAAAATAAAACGAGCCTATCTAAGATAGGCTCGTTTCTTCTTCGTTCCTTAGTACATCAGCTATCTGCCAATAAAAGTCTTGGAAAATCGGTCCAGCCATTCCAGAGATAAGCCAGTACAAACAGACAGATAGACAATAGTTGTACCTAATAAATGTTATTTTGGTATGTGTATCGTATGTATATTCATATGGGTGTATGTAGTAAAAAGCGGTTATTTTAATATTACAACCAGACACTCCAAGTTTATTTATCTGCCTAGATTAACTAGTTGCATCGAAAAGTGTTTTCGTAGTCAAATGATCGCAAGTCCATTGGATTATAGGTTCTCAGGGCTATTTTTTTTAAATCTGATACAATACAGTCACGTGAGTAAGTGTTCCGACAGAGAACCAAAGTTATCGACATAGCCCAAAGGATCAGTAAGCAGAAGTGGCAGTGGGCCGGTCACATTTTTCGAAGAACCGATAACCGTTGGGGAAACGTGTTCTAGAGTGGAGACCGCGTCTAGGCAAACGCAGTGTAGGGCGCTCTCCAGCTAGGTGGAGTGACGACATCCGCAAGGTGGCTGGCAGTGGTTGGATGAGAAGAGCTGAAGACCGAGCTTAGTGGCGTGCCAGGAGAGGCCTATGTCCAGCAGTGGACGAATACAGGCTGACGATGATGATGACAGTTACGTTTATATAGTAATTTTAAATGTAATGATAATACAATTCAAGGAAAACTTTCTGAAGTAGGTATATCTAAGTGCTAGTAAATGCTGTAAAACTAGAGGTTAAGTAATTTATGAAACTCCCTCAAAGTAACTAAGTTTACTGGAAAGAAAATATGCTAGTGTAAGTTCTCGCGTTAGTTTCTTACTTTAACACATAAGAGTCAATTTAGAATATGCTAATGAGAAAACAGCGGGAACTTTTCTTTCGTTTGCGGGAGTTAAAATGGACTATCTATCTTTAGATAATGTGGTTTTAAGTTTACTTAAGTTGTAGTAATACCATTTTAGTTACACTGACTGTGTTTTCGTTATAATATAAGCATTGGTTTCGTTTTTCAGATACTAGTGTCAGTTGTAGTATCGGTTTCCGAAAATTCTTGTACTTAAGGTACACATGCTAATTATTATTTCAAGCATGAAAACATGCTTCAATTGAACACTTGTCACTTAATAGCATGTGTACCTATATTGCTTAAAATTAGCACGGTCATTCCAGGTATGTTTGCGAATCGACAGGCGTTTGATTTTTGAACATTTTTGGGCATGCTCAATAGAACGCCATTTTGCATGATATTTTATTTTATAAGGGTACCTTTAGTTTCCAAAATATGCCAACAAATGTGTATATATAATGTTGTGCGCTAATTCATGAAACTTACTGCACGTCTATTTTCCTACATACATACATAACATCACGCCTTTTATCCTCTAAGGGGTAGGCAGAGGTGCACATTACGGCACGAAATGCCACTGTGGAATGTAACACCCACTTTTCACTATTTATGTTATAAGTCCCATGTAATAGGGGGTGAGCCTATTGCCATATACCGGGCACATTTCCAGACTCCGTGCTACTACTGAGGTTTTTAAAAACCCAGTAATACTTTGCACGACCCGGGAATCGAACCCGAGACCTCTTGCCCAGCAGTCGCACTTGCGACCATTCGGCCAACGAGGCAGTCTATTTTCCTCTTCAGGCAATAAACACGAAATACGAAATTAACCATAATTTATTAATTTGTAATCGTTTGTTTTTACTCATAGATCTGGGACATAAGATGCCAAGTCGGATGCGTCATGACCTTCGAAGGAGTTGACATTTGCAGTGATGCTATTGATTTGAACGTAAGTGGAATATTACGAATTTTGTCTCCCATTATAGAAATGTGTTTGAAGGAATTATACTTATTCCGTTTCGACCAGGTTTCTCAGAAAGTGGTTAGAAGCCACTCTCTATGTGACTGACTGTATAAACCATTAGTGCGTCATAAATGTCCTACAGTTGGTGGTGCTGTATGTTGAGGTGTTCCTTTCCCAATCAAATGGTTGATAGGACCAATTGCTGATACACACGTCATACTCGTGAACCGGTACCTTCTGCTGGGTCGGCTCTCCCATCGTGTTGGTGGGCTGATTTCGTAGAGCCGTTGAGTGAATGGATAATAGCTAATTATTATGTAATTTATTATTTTAGTAATAATTATAAATGTGGTTAATTGTAGTGTGTAATTAACTAGGTACATACTTTACTTTATAAATATTGATTAGACGTATTGTATTTATTGTATTTATTAATACCATTAGTGAGTCATTAGTGAGATCGCGGGACGATCTCCGGCGACCGTAAGTGCGGGTCTGCGGACGGCGAGCAAGGGTAGCTTGCCGCCCGACCAGAACCAGACCCGTGAGTACGGCGCGTCGCGTCCCGCGTGCGCCTCAATGAGCCATCAGACCACCACAGATGGGGCCCAGTAGGGCTGATGCCCGATACATGCCCGTTAAACGCTATGGGGGTCACCGGTGACCGACGTTAGCGGAGGAATTACCGTCAACAGTTTCTTATTGACAGTCAAAGGCTTAACTAAGGGTCGATATTTCCAACGCCGCAAGGTAAATTTTATCGATAGAATACTTTTGAATATTTGACGACGCTTCCATACTAAAAACTGTCAACTGTCAATTTTATTCTAAAGTTTATTGTTCGCCCTAAGAAACTTTCTTTATTTAGGTAAGCTTATGCCTACCTAAAACCTGATCCTGAATACTAGGTTTGTACCTAGTGTTCATATAATACCTACGCAAGCAAATATGACATAACATCGTTTTGCATAAAAAAGTGTAGGTATGATATATGAATAAATAAATGAATTCACATTACTCGAAAACTTTCTTTCATACGACAAAGGTCTCGTCCCAGATTTATGTGCATGCGGGTCTGTTATCTTTGCAGAAGTTTTAAACTTACATAACATATAACATGACGTCAGTATATCTTACTGGCGTTTTGGTACTCACTGTAAATTTAAACCCGGTTTAAATAAATAAATAAATAAATAAAGAAAGAAAGAAAGAAAGAAAGAAAGAAAGGAATAAAGAAAGAAAGAAAGAAAAAAAAAAGAAAGAAAGAAAGAAAGAAAGAAAGAAATAAATAAATAAATAAAAATCTTTTAGAAAAAATTGACCAAATTATTAGGCGAACCCTGTCCTTAATTTTGAATGTTGCTCTTGATGACCGAGCTTGGACACAAGCCACTCTGCCTATCCGCATGGGTGGGCTTGGCGTCCGTAAAATTTCCAGTGTAAGCCTACCGGCTTTCATATCTTCCGCCCATGGTACTAAAGAATTAACCAGGAAAATTCTTTCTCAATCACTGGTTAATTTTGATGTACCATATTTAGTGGAAGCTGTGAATGCTTGGAAAATCGCTTGCCCAAATATTGACCCCCCTGTCAAATCACTCGCCCAGAGACAATGGGACGAGCCACTCTGCAGAAAAGTGAGCGAAAATCTTTTGAACTCCTCTTGTTCAACTGCAGAGAGAGCTCGCCTTTTGGCTGTGGGTGAGTGGGAGTCGGGGTTATGGCTTCTTGCTTTACCTTCGTCTAACCTAGGTACTTTGTTGGACGACACCACGTTCCGCGCTGCAATTTGTTTAAGGCTTGGAGCTTCATTTTGTTCACCTCATCGTTGTCGTTGTGGTGAAGTTGTCAACAGCCTTGGACACCACGGCTTGTCATGTAGCCGTAGTGCGGGCCGTTTTGCTCGACACGCAAGTATTAATGACATAATTCGTCGAGCTCTTGCCTCCGTTGGCGTGCCAGCTACTTTAGAACCTAATGGCTTGGTACGCGACGATGGCAAGAGACCCGACGGTATGTCATTATTACCTTGGAAGATGGGTAGGGCTTTAGTATGGGACGCCACTTGCGTTGATACTCTGGCGCCATCCCATCTTCCAAGCTCAGCGTGTCGAGCCGGTGCTGCCGCTGCCGCTGCCGAGAACCTCAAACGGCGAAAGTATAATAGCCTGATTGGCAATTATGCTTTCGAACCGTTTGGGGTTGAAACTTTAGGGCCGTGGGGGCCAAGTGCACATCTTCTTTACAAAGATATTGTAAGGAGGATGGTTGACACTTCAGGTGATCGAAGGGCTGGCTACTACCTTGGGCAAAGGTTAAGCATTGCCATTCAACGTGGCAATGCTGCCAGTCTTTTGGGCACCCTACCTCACGGTAGCGATGAGGAAAATATTTTCTTTGATGCCTTATAATTTATTTATTTTTTTCATTATTATTATTTTTTCATTAGGTATTATTATTTTTTCATTATTATTATTTTTTCATTATTATTATTTTTTAAGGTGTAAATATTTTAGTTTTAATTATACTATAACAATATAAATGGAATATTGGATATATTTATTATCTAATAAATAAATAAATAAATATATTTAATAATTTCACGCCTGTCTTCCATGGGGTAGGCAGAGACTATGGAACGCAAATTGCTACGATTCCTACATACCTCTTTCGCTCCATCAACAGTCATCAATCTTTTCAAGCATGCTTGTCGATTAACGGTACTTTTAATATTAAAATAATAACTTCTTAATATTTTGGCATTATCATTAAAAACTTTCTAAAATGAATGATAATAATAACATTCATTACAAATGCACTTAGGCAGAATATAATTATGCAAATCACGTTCTTTATAAAAACCAACGCACTTATCTAATTTGTGTAAAATAAGTGCTGTATCAAATAAACGTTGTTCAACGTCTTTCAGTGTCAGCCATATTAAATAATTTAAATTTCGAAATATTCTAATTCTCATTTTAAAATCGTGTGGACGTCATAATTTGATTAGCATCGCTAAAGACCGCACAAGTCACTCTAAATAAGTAATATGAACCTAAATATGCATGCATTAAAGTTTAAATTGAGTTTTTATTATGATATAACCCCTGCTATTTTTTTATTTTTATTTTCAATGTACAGACAGCACTTTTCTACATTTTTATTATATGTATAGATGTACCACGAATATGATTGTGTTAAATATTAATAAGAAATGTGCCTCGTTGGCCGAGTGGTCGCAAGTGCAAGGGGCAAGGGGTTTCGGGTTCGATTCCCGGGTCGGATAAATAATTATTGGGTTTTAAAAAATTCTCAGTAGTAGCACGGAGTTTGGAAATGTGTCCGGTATATGGCAATAGACTAACCCCCTATTACATAGGACTCATAACAATGGTACAATTACAGTGGTATCATGTGCCGTAATGTGCACCTCTGCCTAGCCGTACGCTAGCCCTAATTAATTTCGTTTTATCAATTTCAATCGGCCGTTTTAACGCATACATAAAAATTATTTTTAACAAATACTTGAAAAACACTAGTTTCATGTATCTTTTCATTCATACCGAGAGTAGCGCATGCCGAATCATCGTTACTTTCAACAGAACGCGGTTTTTTAAAGAACCCACAAAATAACATGGTTCTAAAATATAATACCATACAGAAGTACAGGTCTTAGGCAGCGATACAAGTCACTTTTTAATTAAAAACTCTCGCTTTGTCGTAGTGGAAGTTCGTGGTGTTTCATCTAGAGCTAAGCCGTTGGTGTACAGTCGTGGACATAAACACGTAACATTTTTAGTTAAAAACAGAAAAAAAACTTATAATAATTTTTTATGGCATAAGCCGGTATACGAGCAGACGGATGACCTGATGGTAAGCAATCGGCGTCGCACATGGACACCCAGAACACCAGAGGCGTTACAAATGCGTTACCGGCCTTTTGTGGATTAGGAGTTTGAGGACCGTTGGGGATTCAGGGATTGGGGAGATTGGGAGGGTAATTGGGCCTCCGGTAACCTCACTCATACGACGAAACACAACGCAAGCGTTGCTTCAGGTCGGTTTTCTATGAGGCCGTGGTATCACTCCGGTCGAGCCGGCCCATTCGTATCGAAGTATGTGTTCGTCTCTCCCACACTTAAATATACTGTTATTGTTGCTATAATAGGTAAGTGCAGATCATAAGGTTCTATTTTCAAATTTAAAATTGTATGAAAAGTTGTTTGTGTGTGTGTGTGTGTGCCAGTGTGATTTGAAATTAGTATATATATTTTCGAATAGTACACCGCAAGTTTAATACGTTCATAACTGTTTTTGAAATCAAATATGACATTCTGAACACCATTGTTTTTTTAAATGTAAAGTATGGTATATACTCTATGTCCTTTCTTAGATACTTTTCTCTAATAATCGAGCGTGGCATAGTGCAAAATTATTATTTTAGTACTAAGAACATTAATTTTGAGCAAAATATGTTATATCACACTACCTACATCAATAACCTTTAGGGAACAGAGAGTATAGTTCCCTAAGATCGGAAAAGGAGGATCCTCCGACCAGGCGAGGTGATCGTGCCTGGCGGGCTTTCTGCCCAACAGTTGTTCGTTGGGTTTTTCTATCCATGTTTATTCGCTTGTAAACTTTGCATGTGCGATGTAGGATTCTTGTGACGTCATCCGTTGACATGTGGCATGCGTCGCCACAAACCTATTAATAAGTGGCCAACAAAAACATAACATCACGCCTTTTTATCCCCGAAGGGGTAGGCGGAGGTGCACATTATGCCACTGTACAATGTAACTTTTCACTGTTTATGTTATGATAGGGGGTGAGCCTATTGCCATATACCGGGCACAATTCCAAACTCCGTGCTACTACTGAGATTTTTTTTAAAAACCCAGTAATATTTTGCCCGACCCGGGAATCGAACCCGAGACCCCTTGCCCGACAGTCGCATTTGCGACCACTTGCCCAACGAGGCAGTGGCAAGTATAACTGGCCACTGCTGACCAAATTCCTCTTCTCACACGGAGAAGGTTTGAGCATTAACCACCACGCTTGCTCAACGTGGGCTGGCAAAATATGTAATGTTATATTATTATGTAACTTCTTTGAGTACACGACTGTACCTCGTTATGAAGTTTGATGCTCCTGTATAGTTGTTCTTTGCCTTTGAAGAATATTATTATTGCTGAGGCCGCCGATATTTTTAGTTTGTAAAGCTGTAGTACAAGGTATAACTTTGTGAACATTGCAGGTACTAATACTGCTTTGTAGTTGGGATATGCTGGTGCATATATTTTTAATTATAAGTTGTTGTGGTTTTGTGCATTTTTATAATTTGTGTGTAGATTTATATTTAGAATGTAACGTTTTGTTGTAAGAGATGGCTGAGATGTAATACAATGTAACACCTATTTGTTAGGTATATGATATGAGTTCTGTATGTTGGGAAGTGGTGTGATTTTATTCCATTTTCGTATTTTCTTTATGTAGATATTTTTAAAAGTAAAATAACTTATAACTTTCGTAAGACAAACTAAATTAATTATTACGTTTTTGGCTTACTCGCGTAATTATTTGATGAGGAACTCGACTACATTCAAGCCATGCTAGAGGCTCATATTCATGAACAGCATATCGCGACCCGCGACGCGGCGACTGTCGCGTTGCTATAGTAGCAGCGCGACGAAGATCCTCGTCAAATAATTACGTGAGTAAGACGAAAAACTAAATTATTGATTTAGTAAATAAAACTCTTATAATACTAGGTCCGACCCAGGAATCAAACTATAGATCCTTTGCTCTATATGGCTGTGACTACTAGACAAATGAGGTAGTCTTTAATATAACCAATTTAAACCCAGTAGGCTCACTTATAATTCAATAAAGATATTAGAGGAAGAAATTTTTTTATAAGTAAATCCAATTAGGTTCAGAAAAAGTTTTATCTATTTTTAACAGTACCAAAGTAAAAATATTCTTTTACTTTAAATGAATTAATAATTTTAGTGATTTATCAATGTCACCCGTATTGTTAGACACGCGTGTGTCCTTGGAAGTTTTTAGTATAAAAATAAATGTCCTTAGATATAAGACTAATAACTAAACTATTAAGGCACTGTTAATGCTCTAAAATAACAGGCTTTTTTTATAGCATACGCCGACGAGCAGTAAACGAGCAGACGGTTCACCTGATGGTAGGCAATCGGCGCCGCCCATGGACACTCGAAACACCAAGGCGTTACAACTTGTAACGCACTTGTAACTTACAAGTGCGTTACCGGCCTTTTGGGAATTGGGAATTTGAGGATTGTGTAGGATTCGGGGATTCAGGAGACGGGGTCTAGGGAGGGGAGTAAGTGGGGCTCCAGTAACCTCACTCACACGACGAAACACAACGCAAGCGTTGTTTCACGTCGGTTTTCTTAGAGGCTGTGATATCACTCCGGTCGAGCCGGCCCATTCCTGCCGAAGCATGGCTCTCCCACACAGGCTGACGACCGAATATTAATGGTTACAAAATTTTAAGTTTTACTTAAATATCATGCCATTTTACTCATTTTAAAAAGAATTTGTAGTGACAAAATTATTCTTAATCACGACTTAAAATTGAGTAACGTTTGAGTATTTCGACATAAAAGACGTTCTACTGAGCATGCTCAAAAATGTTCAAAAATGGAACGCCTCTATTCGAAAACATGCCTGAAATGAGCATACTAATTTTGCTCAATTGCAGCATGCTTTCGTGCTTTAAATTAGTATGAAACAGTACCCTTAAATATGCTTTTGAGTATATGCCTCATAAACTCATAGACTCGTAGGACGGACTCTAAAATGTGCATAATATAAAGATAGATTATGGCTCTAAACCCCCCATTTCCCTATTACAATAAACTCATAGCATACCAGTGGATGTGACATTAATATGTATAATATGTAGATACCTCTGACCACCCTTCTAGGTAATAAAAAGTGTGAAGCATCTTATTTTATTCACAACTTACACCTATATTATAGTAATAGTTCCACAACTTGCTAAAAGATGTCGTGACTCTCCAATTTCATACAAGTGAATCAGTGGATAAACAAGTAAAGCAATTGAAATAACAGTTAGTTACCTAATACAATTTCTTATTGGATAAAAATGTAGGCTTCATATGTCTGATCTAAAAAGAGAAATAGGTCAAACGGTTTCAATCCATTTAAAGTTCCAGTTGAACGGATCGTTCGTATTTTGACATTTGACAGGCAGAATAGCTGCACGCTTCACGGTACATTGTTACTATTTTGGAAGTTTCTGGAAGTCTCGGATTTTCTAGAACATTGTGTAACCGTATCGGTAGTTACGAAGTTCTTTATTGACATGTACCTAGGTACCTTGTCACAAAGATTCTCATTTATTTTAGGTGAACATGTTTTAATAGAGTTTCGTTGTTTCTATGCACGGCTGTTTTTTGTCTTTTGTGTGATTCGTTATATTGGTTAAAAACAAGGTTACATTTCGAGCTCGGGGAATTAGGTATTAATCTGTTCGTTTTTGATTCTCCATTAGAGATGTTCATCCAATAAAGATCAAGTTTTTTTATAGGCCGACGTTTGGTACCATCTGGTGGTAAGCGATAATGTGACCGTGAACAGTTCACTCGGGACTTGAATACACCCAAATTATGTTTGTTGGAAAATACAGATTCCGGCAAGTCCATTCCTTAGCGGTTTACACAAGGAAGTTTTCTTTACTTGGAAGTAGGCATTCTCTATATTCATAACCTCTCCACAAAAGGTCACCATCACTTCCGTTGATTGAAGTCCCTTGATGTACATATATAGATAGGTCCATAAGCGACGCTGGTCTTTTACTGTGCGGCACTCCGTCGGCTCGTTTACTCCTTATCCCATAAAAAGCTTATTAGTTATCACATACTAGATACTAATAACCCATTCAGCAAACAAAATAAAATATTAACTGTCTACTATATCTTGAAGGATAAACAAACATAAATATCTTACAAAACTTTAATTCAAAGAGAATATTGTTATCACACTGTCACTGCCAACATTTTCCCATAGATATCTTTAAAGCTTGAGCTTATCATTATGTAACCTATGTTATCCAGAGTCCAGAGCCGTGGCATGGCAAACAGGGCTAGTGCCAAAGGCGCCAGGTCACAGAAAGGCGCCGCGATAGCTTAAGATACGCGTACCTATCCATAGAGAGACGTCGGCGCCAAAAAAACGAGGGGCGCCAATAAAGTGTTTGCTTAGGGCGCTATCCACGTTTAATATGACTTGGGTGTCTTCAAGTCCCGAGTGAACAGGTTGCTCATAGGTAGGCGTGCTCCATCGTCGTCCACATCATCGCGAACCATCAGGCGAGATGGTGGTTAAACGTCGACCTATAAAATGTAAAAAAAAATTCACCTCTGTTCACATCCCTCACTTTGTATGAGCGAGGTAAATGTGCAATACAAAAGTAATATGTCACATTTTTATCTTAACCCCAGAGGGGCAAGATTTACACGCGTTTTGGGTTTACGTTTCATGTTTACGTTTCGGGTTACGTTAGTGTTGTTGGCCTACACGTGTCGTGTACAACTTTATTGAAGGTCACGGCAAAGGTTGTGTTAGTAATAAAAAATAAAGAATTCGATTTGGAAATAGACTGACATTCAATTGAAAATACAATGAAATTTTCAATAGATTCTAACCAAGTGGTGGGTGGTTGAATTATCATGTTGATAGTTCGGTTATTATTGGGTTTGACTGACAAATAATGTAATGTTTTGAGTATGACTTGAAATAGATCCATTAATATATTATAAAGTGACTAAAGAGTAACATTAAATGTTATTAAGGATGAGGCATAAATACCTGCCTACGTACCTACCTGTACAGTAGGTTCTGTCTAGGCGGTTTTAATTTTAATTTTTGAATACTTAAATTTATATAGTAAACTATATAGTTTCTAACTAGCTGACCCGACAAACTTTGTACCGCCTAAAAATATATTTTCTCACCTTTTAAACCTTCCCTGGACTTCCACGAATATTTCAAGAATAAATTAACCAAACCGGTTCAGCCGTTCTCGAGGTTTTTGCGAGACTACCGAACGGAAATTCATTTTCATTCATATAGATTATATAGTTTCTGCCATTAGAGAAACTAAAACGCAAAAAAATGAGTAAGTTATGAGATGTAACGTCGTAGTAGTTCATTAGCTCCGAGCGTATGGCGTGTCGCGTTTAACGCGCGCCTCAAAGAGCCATCAGACCACCACGAATGGGGCCCAATAGGGCTGACGCCAATACGGAGCTGATGCCGATAAGAGTCTGACTTTGTCTGTCACCTCACCCAAGCGGGAGAAGTAATTCGATTACCCCCCTCCCCCTAAAATTAGTTTATTAGCAGCAAGCAGTTTTCTGAGGCGAGAAATTAGCAGCTATACTTTTAACGCAAAAACTATATTTTCTTTAGCATAGTAAAATATTACATCTTTACTTATATTATAAATAGGAAAGTGAGTTTGTTTGTTTGTTCCGCTTTCACGACGTAACTACTGAACCGATTGCTTTGAAATTTTGCAGAGGTAAAGTTAGAAGTCTGGATTAAATAATAGGGTACTTTATATCCCGGAAAAATTTAATATTCCCGAGGGAAAACAAAAGTATTGGTATAGATGGCGCTGTGTGTATTGGTATATGTCACATAGGCTACTTTTTATCCTTTTGTGACGCGAGCGAAGCCGCGGGTAAAAGCTAGTTTCATTTATAATTTGTTTGTTTACAGAGAGAACATGTTCTAGCTGGTAGTTGGCTGCCCACTGATGGTGTCAGTGTATGGGATCTGACAGCCAGAAAGCTACTAAGCTTCATCAAGGTGCAGAATCGAAGACCAGACGTGGACGGCGAGTACGTCTACGCGTGTCGATACTGGCGTTCCTATGATGTGTGTACTTTCATAATTATAGAGGAAAATGCTTCTTGTCCCAATATTAATACCATCCTTTTTAGAATGACTTACACTTTCATCGTTGATTGATTTTAGTGTAGGCAATTATGACCATTATGTACATCTATTTGAAGTAAAAATTGTTGAATTCATGCGTAGATTGGACTATGTAGAAGTAGTAATAGTTCCTAATATTTTTGACTTCATAGTTTTTTGTTACTGTTAATACTCATTCATTATTAATTACGTAAAATTGAACTCCAATTTTCAATTCAATGACTGCCTCGTTGGCCGAGTGGTCGCAAGTGCGACTGCCGGGCCCGTCTCGGGTTAGATTCCCGGGTCGAGCAAAGAATTACTGGGCTTAAAAAAAAACTCAGTAGTAACACGGAGTAATTCCAGAATTATGCTCGGTATATGGCAATAGGCTCACCTCCTATTGCATGGGACTCATAACATAAATATTGAAAAGTGGGTGTTACATTGTACGGTGGCATTTAGTGCCGTAATGTGCACCTCTGCCTACCCTGATTATGTTATGAATTCCAATTTTGTGTGTTACATCTGAATCTTTAATAAGTAGCTAGAATATTGATTTGAAAAATGTTATTTCTATTTCGAACGAACAAAAAGTTTATAGCCGATACAAATAAAAGCTAGAAAAGATGTAAGCTTCCATCGGTATGCCGGTGAAAATGTTGTCAAAATCGATTCAGTGCACAGCGCATATTCGGATACACAGAATTCCTTTTACACTGTACACATTCGTTTATTCGATAAATATCTGGATGAAGGCATGCACGTATATGCGCGAATACGCGCTGAGATTATAAGAATAAAAAATAGGAAATAAACTGCTGTGGTTGTAATGTCTGTTCAAACAAGATAGTAAATTAAAATGGTGAGCTTTAATGACAAATTAAAAATTGACGAGAAACTGTTATAAGATTAATTGAGCACATAACATAATATCACGCCTTTTATCCTCGAAGGGGTAGGCAGAGGTGCACATTATACCACTGTACAATGTAACACCCACTTTTCACTATTTATGTTATGAGTCCCATGTAATAGGGGGTGAGCCTATTGCCATATACCGGGCACAGTTCCAGACTCCGTGCTACTACTGAGATTTTTTTTTAAACACACAATAATACTTTGCCCGACCCGGGAATCGAACCCGAGACCCCTTTCCCGGCAGTCGTAATTGCGACCACTCGGCCAACGAGGCAGTCGCGTCGTTTAATTGAGCAATAAGAATGAAAAGGGAGTGAAAGTTATGAAGAATGTAATAAAAAAAAAAAGGTCCACTTCAAGTGATATAAGACACGGAAATGAAGATAGATGTAGATGCATCCATATAATATGCAAAGACGATGTCAAATATGCACATACCAAATGAATTGTATGAGACGCAATGTGGAGGAAAAGGGAGTGTGATAGAATGACATTGATTAATGATGATGACGAAAATGATAATGTTTGTGTTGATCTCCCCTAATTCGACTTAGGAGCAGGTTGGTATGATCAATATAGAATACTATTTTTCAATATAAACATAGTATTTTATACCCAAATGCACTATATACACAATATATTATGTTGAAAACACTGCCTCGTTGGCCGAGTGGTCGCAAGTGCGACTGCCGAGCAAGGGGTCTCGGGTTCGAATCCCGGGTCGGGCAAATAATTACTGGATTTTTAAAAAAATTCTCAGTAGTAGCACGGAGTCTGGAATTGTGCCCGGTATATGGCAATAGGCTCACCCCCTATTACATGGGACTCGTAACATAAATAGTGAAAAGTAAGACCCACATTGTACAATGGCATAATGTGCACCTCTGCCTACCCCTTCAGGGATAAAAGCCATGATGTTATGTTGAAATCACTTCAACCGAAAAAACGGCATGGTCAAATATTTCGGGGAAATATAACGTTTCTATCCGGCTTAGCGATTATATCCCACTAAGCGTTAGTGTTCCATATTTTTTTGTTCAGTCTCATATTATATAGACGACTTCTCTCGCAAAATTTTCGTTTAGTTATCAACTACTTTCGCAAACCTAGTTTAACTTTCACTGAGATAACCTCAACGTCACGATGTTGGCTTTGTCGTTTTAGTTTGCTATCATTTTAGATTCAAGTTAAACTTCCAACATGGTCGCTGGCAATTTGTATTAAAATTACAACGAGATTTTATCGTAAATAGAAAAGTTATTTCGGTGTTTAACTTTGTTAGGAAAATATTTATTTGTCAGACAAAAAGCTGATGAATAAGTTTATATTTTGATTGGTTAAAAATAAACTTTTGTTATTACTTTCCTAAGGGGCTTTATAAAGTTCATTTTCGAATCATTGGTTATAATTGGACCTTGTTTAATAACAATTTGCTTTGTAAGTAGCACTAGGTAAGCCTAGGTAATCCTATTTGTTCTTCTTTAATCAAAGGAGTTGCAATACGAGCAGTCCGCCAATCACATACTTTGTGAGTGTGATCTTTGGCAATATGAACGTAACACTATATTAGATAATTTAATTGTTTCATCAGGTGTAACTTATTAATGCGGACCTTGTAAAACCAAATTTATGTGTGTTTAGACGTTTTTGCCATACATATTAATGTAAGCAAGTATAACCGATCACACAAAGGATCCATTTCGTTTTAAGTCCATTTTTCCATGGTACTTGCCGAATGGATTTCTTCCAGTCGTGTAGTCTTATTGAGTGAGTGAGTGAGTGAACACTATATTTTTTTTCATTCTTTACGGGTTCTAAGACAGTGATTCATATCTCTGGGACGCGCCGCACTTCAGTATTCCGGGGCTTTCATGGTTGTATCTACTGTAGATCCTGGCTTACAAGAGATGCAGCAGTTTTAGAAGGGTGTGGCGGGCTTCATCTCGACTCATCAAAAAAAACCTAGTGCTGTTGAAGTCCCAATTATTTACCTACTTTCTACTTTTTATGGTATTAAAAATGCAATGTGTTCTATTTTCGAACTAAACTTGAAACTCTTATGTGAATAGGGGATGCCGTATTGGTCTGTAGAGGCGTTTCTTTTTATTACAGGCTACAAAAATAACGTAAAACTTAACATTTGTATAATTATGTAATTTAATTGACAGAATCCCCATCTTAATTCAAATCAGTGAACATATTCATCCAATTCTATCTTCACAAGGTAAACCTTACAAAATTCTTGTTTGATACGAAAATACAATTACGGTATAACTCCCGGGGTTGCCAGCCTGTCAGATACACTTGTCAGTCTGCGTATGTTGGTTGTTAATTCAATTTTAAAATGCTTCACCGGTATCCGTCGAAAAATTGGCAATATTTTCCAGTTTTTACTTTGCTCTCTAGATAGGTACTAAGTTCTTTTATTTCATTTTTGAATCGAGTTTCAAGTATCCTCGTGTATTTTTTCGATAATCCTGGAATTTGGGATCGATAAAGCTTATTTGAAATGTTCTCGATGCTTAAAGTGTAAAATATATCTATCATCATCATCATCATCATCAAGCCTTTTATCCCCGAAGGGGTAGGCAGAGGTGCACATTATGCCACTGTACAATGTAACACCCACTTTTCACTATTTATATTATGAGTCCCATGTAATAGGGGGTGAGCCTATTGCCATATACCGGGCACAATTCCAGACTCCGTGCTACTACTGAGATTTTTTTTTTATCATAAAATATATCTATGATACACTTAAATATAACCTTTATATCCAATGCTTACTGTTCTTTTGTGACCCTTAGTTTTCACCTACGTCTAACCATTTAAGAAAGATACTCAACAGTTTTTGTCTAGATATCCCTTCTAAGCATCAGTAATAATGTCTATTCCTTCATTTGATTCAGTTCTCTAACATTATTCTACTACACATCTGTGTAGTTCATCTGAACGAAGGTAGTGTTTTTCTTAAATATCACGTATGAGGTCGGTTTTGATCCCTTTGGCCCTCGAATAGTGTCGAATCATGCAGTGGGATTTCGTAATGTAATTTTACTGTTTTTTTAACAAGTTTTAAGGTTTAATGAACTTATTACAATATACTGGATATTCAGAAATAGGATTAATTTTCCTGCCACTGGCCCACAGAAAGAAATTGCAATAGGAATAGGTGGTACCTTTGTACTTTAGTTTTATATATATGTTGTCCTTTATTTTGTATGTGTGTACATAAATAATAATAATTAGTATTTAAATTATTATAGACGAGACTAGTGAGTAACAGAATATGAGCCTCTAGCATGGCTTGAAACTAGTCAAGTCCCTCGTCAAATTATTACGTGACTAAGCCGAAAATATAATACTTTATTTAGTATATCTCACGAAAGTTACAATACAAATATAATAATTACTATTTTATAAAATTAGGGCGTTATTTCCTAATTGACTAGTCTAAGGAGTAGAAGAAGAATAAATATTGGCTCATTTCTTATTACAATGACACATATTTATAGTTTATTAATGTTAAAGTCACGTAGATACACATCAACCTGTTCTTAAATGCATTTTATTACTTTACTAGCGACTCGCCCCGGTTTCGCACGGCTGCAATATGCATGTATTATATATATAAACCTTCCTTAAGAATCACTCCATCTATTAAAAAAACCGCATCAAAATCCGTCGCGTAGTTTTAAAGATCTAAACATACATGGGAACAGACAGACGACGAATAGCGACTTTGTTTTATACTATGTAATGATAAACACTCTTGTTGTCTTTTGAAAATTATTAACATACTATTGTCTCTAATTCTGTTTTAAACTATAAATAAAATAGACAAAAGATTTCTGAACATTTGACCTACAAAATAGAAAGTTGAAGTGAATGGTATAAAGGTATAACTTTGATTCTAAATTCTTTCTGGATCGTTTGAACTGATTTGTTCAAAATCAAATAAGTTTACTGAACACCTGCGAGTTACAGATTAGATTGAGAAATTTCTTTACTAATCAAATTATATGGCTGCGTCTCCAAATTGACTGATTTTCAACTAGCCCAATTTTCTCATCAACTATAGTATAGTCTGAAGTAATTTCTATGTACTTGGAAATAAAGGTGAAAGTAATTTGCATTAGCTACTAACAAGTAGAGTGTAGAAGTTAGTAATTTTTATTAAAGCAAATTGTAAGCGTATTTTGTTGAATTTTTAGCAGCTTTTTCACATGAATCCACACGGCTGATAGATCGGCATTAGTCGAATAAAGTTTGATATTTTATTTATTATTTATATACACATACAACATAAAGGACAACACGTCATATATAAAATTGAAATACAAAGCTACCAGCTATTCCTATTGGAATTTCTTCCAGTGGACCTGTGGCAGGAAAAGTAAGAATGATAATAATATAACACACTGTATAATAATCATAGATATAAATGTTTCTGTGGTAATAACAAATAGAATATTGACACAGAAACCAGACGAGATTTTACATAAATACAAGTATTCAATATTCTAGGTAATAGGTATTCTGGAAATTACCTAGGTATCGTTGAAAGCACTTAATTCATTATCTTGTATATTCAGGTCGTCATTATCCGCTGTGTAAACCTACCTACTAGAAGTAATTAACTCCAACTAGAATACGTATAATTGAGTAATTTACATCTAGTATTCCACTATGAAAACGCTCCATCAAAGCTCATAAATGTACCTTAATTATGAACATATTATTGTATCCATTATAAACTACACGTGGTACTTACATAATCAAATCAATTCCCCCGGCTAGTAATAGTCTCTTTCTATGTACAATTTATTAACAAAATCATAATTATAATTACAGTACAACCGCAAAGGTAAGTACGCTCTGGTCGGTGGAAGTGGAACCAATAGCCTGGAAGTGATAAATCTCCATAACAGATACATCACATGTTCCTACCCCAGCCCGGGCACTATACTCGCCGTCACCAGCTACCAAGAACGCATAGCATTCGCAGGCACCTCCAGTGCCTTCACAATTGTCTCCTTCTATGACCCCAAACTACAAAAAGAGAAGTACCAAGCCGCTATCGACGCTGATTATGACTACTCAAAGCCAGCTCCCGGCACGATCACTCTTTATCACGATGACGTGAGCATGTACTCCTCCACTGATCAGACTCCAGACACAGACATGCCCGAAAGCCCATCTTCAACTGGAACTGATACCCCAAAGTCGTCATAGAAAACCTTGACAAATATGTCAACGTTTAGTTTTTAAATATATTTTTAATTTCTATTTAATAATACCTTTCATTGTATCCAAAAGCTTTTGTTTTATTAATGAAATAACCTCAATTTAATGAAGTATCCACCGAAAAGCTTTCAGCCTAGCACATGTACAGTAAGTATGACAGATGTAAATGATGATGATGGGCTCAAATTACAGCGGCACGCGAACGGCCCATCACCCAAACAGAAATCCGTTTCAATTTTGTTAAAGAGATACTCGTGTTCATTTCACTTCGCAGTCGGTGCCAGTTCAACGTATCGTCGTCATTGCAATGATAATTTGCAAAGCTTGTTTCAAGCGAATTGGACCGCAACTGCAATAACCATAAAACTCATCCAAATACGTGTCGAAATTCAACGGCGCCAAATTGAAATCCTGGAAACAATTGCACAAGTTTCCACAACAGAAAAACGAGACTCGGCCAGCATTGAAAAATTAGAGTCGGCATTGCGAATTCAGCCGAGACTACAATGGCGAACAAGTTGCAATAGAATTTAAATAAAGAAGCGTTCCCTAACAGCGCGAACTCGTGTGCTGGGCGTTGGTGAACTTTCAACTTTTACCCGCTTATGTAGCAGGAGCGTACCTACGTCTCCCCGCCCCACCCGCGGCCGGGGTGGCGGGAGCTTTTCCGTACTTGGACCGAATATTTACAGCGCAACCTAAATATAGCGTGCCACTGCTCAGCTGGCACGGGCGGGGGGCGAGTGGGAGGGTAAACATTCCCCCTTCACCCTTCGGTAGCTCAACGTTGTAGAAGGCCATTCGAGCGCCGGCTCCGGAGGTGAGCGGACATCTCCTGTATAATGCAGAGGTCGCACGGCGACCATGACCGTAGTCAGGAGAGGTTGTCGCTCGCTATGGCGATAAAGTCACCCTCAAGGCCATGGTGTACGAATTGGCGTGACAGGGTTGTATGAACGGATGCATTTGTAGTCAACAGCTGATACGAATTATAAATGATCTTTCAGCACGCATGCCTAATATACTATATTTAGATGACGTATGTTTGGAACATTCTGGAACAATAAAAGCCTGTACCCATTTAGGACAGTAATAGTATTCAGATGAAATTGAATGGGTCTCGGCTTCTGATTTCAATGGATTACGAAAATAGCTCAGGAACTTTGTATAGGGACCTGATAGTATCTAGAAACTGGGATAGATTGTACAGCCGTGTCCCTATTAATAATACTGAATTTAGTTTAGATTCACAGCGTGGTATTTAGTTTCATTGTAAATATTTATGGTTTTGCCGCGAATTAATAATAACAAATCATTCTGCTAACAATACTTCCTTGGGGATTCAACAAAGAGTTAGTCTTAAAAATCCCCTTTAATTAATCAAATTAATGTTAAACAACTTTGATAAGAACTCTGAAGGTACATAAGACCTTCCTTAAAACTAATTATCTCCAGGTAACGAGAGCGATTTAGAAATCAGCTTGCATTTTTTGTTTAGTAAGGTAAACAGATCTTTCGGATATAATTTATTACACCTCCTCTTCCTTAAATGGGTTAGGCAGATACGTCTGAAGGCTTACATTTATATCGTGGAACTGGGAACAAGCTACACTTTACACTTATAGTTATCAACGTAGGTAGGTATGCTTAGTTTCAAATTCAACAATATTTTGATCCGTCCATCGTATCCAGGTTCTTGTTAGACAATAGTAGCACCTGCTACTTCAGGAAAATCAAATGTTTTATTCAATCTAATCTCCGACCGATAGAAGATTAGAGACTGACAAAATATCTGACAGCTCTTTGTAAACAGGGAACATTCATTTATTATTTAACTAGATTTATTTTTAATTCGCGAAGCTTATAAAGTTGTTTTGCTAATGTAACGAGGGTCGTTTGGACCGTGCCGGGCGTTCTATATATCATTTTTGTGGCGTTTTTGTTTTTGTGAGTTTGGAACAACGCCATTAGTTATCTCTCGCTCGAGGCGGCTTTTTTAAAAGTCGATATTCTAATAGCTACCTATATACGTTTATTAAGGTCACTGTGTCATTTCTAACGCGAAAATTTATTAATTGCTTTATATTTTAAAAGTCATTACGTGAGACTAGATATGAAATAAATTGCTATCATTAAAGTGTCCTGTTAATTAATTTTACTCAATTTCCTTTATATTCTTTGTGTCTTTAAAAGTTTTACCAAAAGCAAACGGTGGACAAAAGGAGATAGCTGTGAGGCACGGCGCGAGGAACAATAGGCTTCGTGAATAAAAGAGCTACGGGATAAAATTAAAATATTATAAAGGTTATGTTGGTATGTACTTTTTATCGCCCACTGCTGTACACAAACAGTATAATAATATATTGTATAACCAGACAGACAAAGCCTTACAAATCAGCTTTAGACTATGACGTACGACGATCTTTGTCAGCGTAATAAAAAGATTCATTACAATCCTTGGCAATCTAACGACATCGACACTATTATAGTTTGTGTTTCTAATTTCATGAGAGAAAATAAATTACAACGATGCGACTGGAAGTCAACATGTAATGACGTCAATAACAGCAAACGAATTCAGGTTTGCAGAATTAAAAAGCGCTGAGAACGCAAACTTGGCGGATTTAGAGATTCGGGCGTAGTGGCGTAGCGGCGTAGAGGGGGCGAGGGCGGCGTAGTGGGACGTAGCACGGGCGTCGTAGCTGCATCGATCCGCGGGCCGTGACCTTGACCCGACCGCGTTCCCGGATGTACCAGCACTCGCCTAGTTGCGCCATTGTCGCTTTATTCAGCTCCTACTGGCTTTTATTAGCTCCACTTTTATTTCCCTTACCTCATATTAGCTTCGAGAAAATGTAGGTGCGTCTAGACAAGTTTGTTTTTCTTGTAAACATAATGGATTACAATTCAGTCTCAAGGTTTTATTTTTTTTTGTTCATCTTTGCTTATGTTTGATTCACGGTGTGAATATTTTATATTTGCCTGTTCTTAAATCTTTCCCCACTTTTTATAACACTTCCCATTTTTTTCCTTTTCATATTGTTTCGCTTTTGTTTACGCTTCATGAATATCATATTTTGTGTCGATGTAGAATATTTTTTAGCCGTGCTTACCCTGGTTTTTGACATAGGTACTATTGAAGGTAGAATATAATTATGTTTATTAAGTAAGTGAGGGAGAGCCATGCTTCGGCACGAATGGGCCGGCTTGACAGAAGTGATACCACGGCCTTACAAAAAACCGACGTGAAATAACGCTTGTGTGGTGTTTTGTCGTGTGTGTTACCTGACGCGTTAAAAGTTTAACGCGTCCGGTGTTTCAGGCGTCTTTGGGCAGCGCCGATAGCTTACCTTCAGGTGATCCGTCTGCTCGTTTCAGTAAACGGAACAGGCCAGTGCCTATTCCATAAAAAATCTTTTTATTCAGAAAAGCGATCTATTTGATGAATTATTTATTTGCCCAATGTAAATTTTAGATTATGAATGAGTAGCTACTTAAGAATTTCTTTAGAAGTCTTCATTTTTTTTTAGAAAACTTCTTATGAAGATAGTTCTTGAATAAGTTTAGATAACGGAAAGTAAGAAATGTCCATGACGTCACAACTGACCTAATAGTCTTACAAAAAGACGTCATAGAAAGTACATACAACAAAAGCTAACAGCAATTACAAGCCGTACGGCCCAGTGGGCGTTGCCACAATGTGTTCTAAACAAAATTATGCAGATGCATGCAATCTGGTCGCCAGGACGGTGGCCGGTGCATAACAATGTATGCTAATCAAAAGATAGCGCGCATGATTTAAGTACACAACTGTGTTTCCGCTTTACTCGAGGCCTTGAATTTTGGCTGAGTATTTTGGCGAGCTGGCTGAGTTTTGGTGCAGTGTGCCATTGAGTTTTACGTGCTATCGGTTGCCAATGTTTAATTTTATAGGTATTGTAATCATTAATCAATTGTTTTACGACTTAAATTGGGTTAAATGTTCCAGTAAGACACAAGTTTTATTTATACTTAAGTTAATTCTTTTTAATTTGTAAAAGCTTTCTATTTGGTTGGTTTTTTTAAGGGATGAGTACCTATAATGTGTTTAATAATAGGCTAACTGCTATTATAAAGGAACTAATAACCTTACTTACTGTGTATAAAACCTGTGTGAGCCGTTTTAAATACAAAATACTGTTACTCTTTTTTTAGTAATATCAAATCTAAAGCTACCGTAACAAATACTGACACAATAATATTTTAATATAAATATTTTAATATTTGAATTTAAATTGAGAGGATTGGACGGAATACATTTGAATTAATTATTGATAGAGAAACGGTATTAATTAATTCGACAAAATAATGAACGATTATTTCAACTCCTGTACTATTTGTTCGCTTTGTTTGTGTTTTTGAAGCTCACTTAAAATACGTTCTCTTTGTAAAACACGAAGTAAATTGTGCGAACAAATCCTTGATTAAAAGGAATTATGTTTAATTGCAGCCGACAGGAAACTGGAGCTTTGTAGTTTAATAAAATATATTATTCTGTATTTATGTTAAATGTATTCTTAACGGTATGTATATTGTATTCTGTATTTGGTTAACTTGTACGGACGGGTTAACAATGTGAATAGAAGCTGGAAGTGTTATTATATTCTTTCAGATGTTATTTTATCTTTCAGTAATGGCATGGAGTCTTTAAATTATCCTTACTATAATATTATAAATCGGAAAGTGAGTTTGTTTGTTCCACTTTCACGCCGTAACTACTAAACCGATTGCTTTGAACTTTTGCAGACGGAAAAATTTGATATTCTCGAGGGAAAACGAAATTATTGGTATAGATGGCGCTGTGTGTATTGGTATATGTCACAAAGGCTACTTTTTATCTTTTTGTGACGCGAGCGAAGCCGCGGGTAAAAGCTAGTGCTTTATATAGGGTTAATAGGTTTACCCTGTGTTAAAAGGGACTCGAAACACAACTGGTGAAAAGTGGTTAT